TTTATTTTGTGACCATTAGGGATAGACCATTGAAACTTAGCAGAATGAAAGAACAATGAACAAGGTTTCATTTTGCCAAGTATGACTCTCAACCCCATGCTGAATTACTGAGTTATTCAGATTTGTTTGGGTTACCTTTTTTGGCTCACCCTATACATCTACTCATCTATATCCTATATCTAAAATGTAGTGATAGCTATTTGAGTCAGCCAATGATCAGTTTAATAGTAACCAGGCATAATGAGACTAAAAAATACCATGAGTTAGAGGCAATTCGAGAATTACTTCATTCATGTTCTGGTAGGGGTAAAAGACAATTGAAAGTGACACTTTTACGCTTTAGTCCTAGTCTCCCACTCTCTGCAAGTAAAAATACATTCACAATTTTCAATGAAGTAAAAGAATTGAACGTATGGTCAACTAAATAGTATTGTTATCATAAATAGAACAAAACAATAAACATTAACGAATAATTATGATTCAATATTAACACAGAATTGTCAACTCAAAAGGATAAAATTGTATACAAAAGAAAATAAATCTTTCTAAATGCCCTACAAAAGCAACATTCTTACAGGCCTCTAGTAGTTTATTTTGTATGAAGCTTTAACTAATGATATGACACACATCGTCGATGCTTAATTCTGAGATTATTTTTATATCAAGCTCTGATGCATAATTTGGGTACAATCTCATGCTTCCTGGTCAACTCAACCCCAAGTCAACTCAACCCAAGTCAACTCAACCCTTAGTCAAGTCAGCCCCAAGTCAAGTCGACCCTTAGTCAAGTCGACCCCAAGTCATCTCGACCCTTAGTCAAGTCGACCCCAAGTCATCTCAACCCTTGGTCAACTCAACCCTTAGTCAAGTCGACCCAAATGATTTTACTTGTTTTAAGTAGATTAAAATACAATATAATCCCATTGTTTGTGCAGTTTGATTTGAAATCAAACTTCAAAGAAAAAAACACATTTCTGTCACCTATAGATCAAAACGAAGATTTGAACTGGATCATAAAATCCCAATCTGATTGTTTATGACACCTGAAATATGAGTAAGATAATGGAAAATAGAAAAACATAAATCCCATTGTTTGTTCAGTCTTGTTTTAAAATCTTACTTCAAAAAATAAACATTTCTATCGCCTGTAGATCAGAAGGAAGATTTGAACTGGATCATATTGTTTATTGTTATAAAATCCTAATCTTGTTATTTATGACACCTGACATGGGTACGATAATGGAAATTGTAAAATCATAAATCCCAATGTTTGTTCAGTCTTGTTTTAAAATCTAGCTTGAAAAAATACACATTTCATCGCTTATAGATCAGAAGGAAGATTTGAACTATATCATCTTGTTTATTGTTTATTATTATTATCAAAATATAAAATCATTCAATACAAAGTAATGGATGGATGTTGGCACAATGCACATGTTGCATAAGTTACCTGTTGTCAAAAATACTGTTGCAACAATTTCGGTATAACAGAAAAGTGTAGAGATAATTTTTTTATTTCAGAGAGATAAAACAAGCTCAAATATGAAGGGGTGAAATATATGTATAGCATCGTGAATAGCCCTATTAAGATTAATCAAATATTATTTTGGTAAATAAATGTCATATTTATAAAAATTATAAATGCGTTAAGCACAAACTTCAATAGTTGATAATTTTATTTTGGAAAATAAGCATTTTAGTCCCTCATTCTTTCAAAATTCATCAATATGAATGAAAATAGTATATCTATTTGTTTTTTATGGTGGGGTCGAGTTGACTAAGGGTTGAGATGACCAAGGGTTGAGATGACTTGGGGTCGAGTTGACTAAGGGTCGAGATGACTTGGGGTCGACTTGACTAAGGGTCGACTTGACTTGGGGTCGACTTGACTAAGGGTTGAGTTGACTTGGGTTGAGTTGACTTGGGGTTGAGTTGACCAGTTACCAATCTCATCCCCTATTTTTCTATTCTAACATTTAGTCAATTCTGAAGCTGCACTTGACTTTCTCATATAAATTCAAAAATTCATTTTCAAAATGAAATTTCAAGCACAATCACTCCTCGTTCATTAGTTTAGCACAATCATTTTGGCACATTCACAGCAAAATCACCTGAGAACCAGGAGCACAACTGCACAACCAATGAGCACAACCAAAGACAGGAACACTTTGATATTATTGTAGATTCTAATACATATAATTATATACACCCTACGCACATATTCTTATCTGTGGCAAACATCCTTCAATCACAGGGCTTCAAAATCCAGAATACTTCTTTCTTTTTACCCCCTGCGATAAGCAGTTAGCATTTCCCCGATTAAGAACTCGCAATTTGATTCACTGTCGCAAGATTGCAACAGCAATCATGTATAGGTCATCGGCGCATAATTAGATCACGTGATTCAGTTTTATCGGGCGCTTCCAAAATGGTTATAGCAGGGGAAAGAAGGAGGTACGGATTCTGGACACTGCTTAGGAGGATGGTGGCAATGGGTTTGTTTTCATTCACTTTGTTTACAGTACTGATCATTTCAGTAAAAAATGGTGACCTTACCTTACCCAACTAGCTGTGAAACATTACCTCAATTTCCATAGGGTAAGGCCACCATTTTTACTGAAATGATCTGTTATATTCCACAGTAATGTAAACAAACCCAATGCAACAGATAAGATCACTTGCATAAGGTGTACGCAGACAAATAAAATTATTAGCTGGTACTCCTACTCATTCATTAACTATATGAACACTCAATCATTTTTATGGCAGACTACCTCATGTACTCTTATTTTAATGGAATAATAAATGTTATTTTGATCTACCTAATTTACTATCTTATACACACATACAATTCTGACATTTACATCTTTGATCATATTAATAGGCTGGGGGCATATATTTCAGTTGTGGTTTTCCCGAATCAAGCTATTCACTAATGTTCAAATACTCTAACTTATGCCTCAGTCACCTTTGATCTATGGAAACCATATGACTGAGCTTCCTAAAATCAAGAAATATGTGCAGCATGAAAAATCAGCAGCACCATGTATATTTTCTATGTCGATTTTGTGAAGCTATGGCCACCGTAGAGCAAATGTGACTGAGGATTAAATGAACTGCTTAAATAAGTACCCTGAATCAAACTTGATGTTTTAAAGAATTCATGCTCTAGCTAATACAAAAACATCCATGCTTATGTATCTACTTTGACTAAAAACAACCACTCCAACCTCTCAAAAGTCAAAACCATATCCAAAATTAACAACCCATTACCTCCAAAAAGAAATTCCAATCATGATTTATTACATCTCATGCCTTGTATCTCAAATAAATAGGAATCAGTATTAGGAATTCATGCATTTTTCCTGAATTGTTGCCAATTACCCAAATGCGAGTAGGTAGTTACCAGTTTCACCACCAGGTGGCTGATTCGGGTCAATTAACATGGCAGGTATATAAGAAAGTTCCCTTAAACTTGAATATTATCAATTTAAGTGGCTCAATTTTAATATAACCCTTATGTGTCTGATACTTATACAAATGAAAATATGTCCAGTAAAGCAAAATATTATCTGTCCACTAAAAGAAAAGATATTTCATTTTTTGTGATTTTATAGCATGGGGTCTATGGGGAATCTCCCCGAGCTAGAAGTCACATTTTCAAAGAAAATTAATTTTTCAAAGTTGATAAACACTTTTTAAAACCACATTTCTAGAAGTAATTTTACATGTAGATTTCAAATATGATATTACTTTGACTGAATTTTGAATTTTTAATGACGTAAATCAAGATTATTTCTACTCGCATCTGGGTTATTGACCTTTCTAACAGACCCTCCACCTTTTGGTACATCAAAGAAGCTATGATTTATGGCTAAGATTGGAGATGTCATCGGTTGTTCCTAAAAAAAGTTAATACAGTAGGCCAAAGTTTATCCTATTTTTGATTGGACGATGCAACTTGTGGCAAACAACCAATGACATCATCAATAAAGCCATTATATCATAGCTTTTTTGATGTACCAAAGGGTGGCAGGGTTCATTGGGAAGTTCTTTTCCTCTATTTTTCAAGAGAAAGCTAGAGTACAGCCTATCTGTCACCCATAGCCCATGCCTATAACTTAATTAAATTACTCGAAATTCTTGGTGTGCTGCCTTGTCTAATTTGTATCTTATTGTCATGCACATCCAATGCACTGTCATGCACATCTGGTGCATTGTCATGCACATCTGGTGCATTGTCATGCACACTCAATGCAATCTGGTCCTTACTTTTCTTCGCTTGTAATTTAGGTGAGGGATTGAAGTTGGGTGAGTCAAAAGCTTTTAACACATAAACCTATACAGAAAATATAAAACACAATAAATATATAAACAGACATGAGGGTGGCCCAATAAAAGGGGTTGCATTTTCTGAGTCACCCTGTAAATATACAGTAAACCTGGACAGCTTTCAATGGAACCTTTATAAGTGGAACACATAGGAAACATTTTAATATTAAATTAGTAATGAACCATGTCCAGTAAACTTGTGTGAAAATAATCTTTACAGTACAATAACAATAAGCACACAGACACAATACATTTTGCCTGCCATCTAGAATACACATCTATTATATAAAAACATACACTCATGATCAACAAAGAAAATGATACAATAAGATTATAAAACATAATAATATAAAATAAAAATTTCAATTTAGAGGCATAATTTCATTTGACAAACTGTTTCTCAGTCTCTGTTTCCCCGCCTCTTAAAATATTCAAAACTTAAATGTTTTACTTTGTCTAGACATACTTTAATGATTGTCAAACCCTCTTGAAATATTCTTATGTCTTGGGTTTCCATCATGTTATACCCCAAGTCACTTGGTTCAGTTTTCTCTTACATGTTCAACTGATCCAAAACCCTAAAACTCCTCACCAAAATCCCTCCCTAAACTCAGATCCAAATGTCTCATTCATTTTTCCTCAAAATACCTAAATAAAGTTTCACTTACCATATCAGTGGGTAAGAGAGGAAAGTCATCCGGTGGATTGGTGATGACATAACGTTTTGACGATGGACACCTCACGGAGGCATTGGTGTCTCTGAACCTATAGAGACCTATACATAGAATGTTGAAATTCTTGAGAGCTGCCACAAACAAATCGCCATATTTCCCTGATTCCTGAAAAATAAAACATATATTTAAAATCACGTGAATAAATGGCCATTGGTTAGTTATGTTTAGAAATTGACCAATTATAAGCCTTGATTTGCAGAACTGACATGAAATTAAATACAAAACATTTTTAAGGTAGTTATACACATACAGAGACCCCAGTGTAAAATTACCTTAAGGCATTAGACTATATTGGAAATTTTCTTCAATCTACTATACTTTACATGTTTTTTAAGAAGTAAACTTTCACAAATTCTAGGTCTAAAAAAGGTTGTATGTGTCTTTTTAACTATGAATGCTTGTAAAATTAGATTCTTAAACATTGAACTTACTCCATATTGAGCAAGTGGGCCATCGAACAGTGAGATCTGTCCAACCCTGCATCTATCCCTATTAGCTATAGTCTCTGGGGTGCTATAACCCCCTCGCATCCCAACCCCCTCTGCCAGGATCTGCTCCAGCTCTGGTGTGGCTCCCCCAGTGATGAGCGTTCGGATTAGCGTCAAAGCATTGTCGTTGAAGTATGTCTTAAAACAAGAACAACAATTCACAATTACGATAGACAACATCTGTGAGCTTGAAACTATGGGTTAATCTGAAAAATTGGATAAAATCCAAGGCTCAGGATTCATGTGAAGAAGTCTCTCCACCTTGGTGGGAATCGAACCCATAACCCAATTACATGTCTAGTGCTCTACCACTTGAGCTACAGAGTGAAATGAGCTCTCACATCAACATTTCATATATCATATTGTTGCCAAGTCTTACATGCCATTTCCCGAACCCATCATCAATTAAGTTTTTCCAGGTTGTCAGTCACACTATTAATGATCACAAGGTCTTTCCCATATGTGATTCAAAATTAATAGATAAAATTAGACGCTTTTGAGCTCAAAATATTAAAGTGTTTCTTATTAAGAGACTTCATGAAAGTTTGCTCTTTCACAGCAAATAGTGTTACAAACACAAAGACAAATATTTCTTCATGTAAAGCCATACTTACTGTACTCATGAGAGAGTCTAGCACACTGACAGCAAAGGCTGTACCACAAGCAAACGGTTGCGTCATGTAAAGCTCTGTATCTGGATCATCGTCATCATCTTGATCCAGAAACTGGACATTGGTGTCATTGGCTAAATGCAAACATACAAACAAGTATTAAATAAGGGTTGCCCCTGCAAATAATTTTCAATAATAATTCATATATTTTTTTTAGTTGTAATCTTGTATCCTTTTGTTTTTGTTCATAGACACCTTGTATTACAGGCAGCTGATCTCTTTTGTTTTGTACTTTTCTGCCCAGTCACACCAAATTAGTTAAATACACACTATAGTGAGAACTAGATCAGTGTGAATGGGTAGTTGCATGGTTGCTTACCTAGTTCTGTGATCATTGGTACATTAGCTCCATATGATGACCCCCTCCTTGTCCCTTTTACTGGTGTACCCATAGGAGAGAACCCAAGAGGCATAAACCCTGAAAGAACATAAAGATATATAAGATATGGGAAGAACTGGCATGTTCTGACAGTAAAACCTATTTACCAGCTAGAACACCTATGTAAGTGGAACACTTTCTTTAGTGGAACACCTTTCAATTCAGACCCACAACTCCTTGATGCAATACCAATCAATTCTTTATTAGCAGTTAGCAGAACACCTCCTTAGTGGAACGATTTATTTGCAAAATTAAGGGTGTTCCACTTACAAGATTTCGCTGTAGTTAGAATAGAAATGTAAAATAAAAGAATGTCAATGCAAAACACACATGTTCAGCTAAACCATACATACTATTTACATTTACTGAACAATACAATCCATTTACTACATGATTATTAGTGTATAAACCTAGAATTAATAATTAATAAGAAAACTGAAACAAAACATATAACAGGAGAACAATAAACACAAAAGTCATAAATGGTCAGTAAAAATTATATATAACTCAATGTTTGTGAGTAAGAACATTCTTATCAACAAAGAAAGTAATGATGGAATCACATAACTATATATTAATACCATATTCCTCCTTATATTTAGTACATGAGTCTAAGATATGGGTCATTATTCTATGCCAAGTAGAGTTTTAGGGAGATAAGTTGGTAAGATATATCCCGTATCCTGATTTTGAGGTTTCCCTATCCAGAACCTCCATATCTCCCGCTTCGGTGCATATCTTCCCGCTTCGGTGCATATCTCCCCTCTTCCGGTAAGTAGTGCAAATGCAATAAAATGACTTTGCATATGAATGATTTGTTTATTTTTACACCTTGTACTATTGAAATGGCCATATGCCCCTGAAAACTGTACTTGGTATAGGATAAAGCAGTTATGTACGGTCGGTTTGGATATAGGGTTCATCCCTCGTGAGATATGGACATCTACCTTCAGTCCCTACGGTACCTCAGGTAGATATGCATATCTCTATCTGGATGAACCCCATATCCAAAACCTCCCAGTACATAATCCTTATATATGGGTACATAGGAGTTTAGAAACCAACAGCTTTTATATGGTAAAGGGCTGCAGTTTTGAACCTAAATGTATTTATGATCATCAAACTTCACCATGAACCATTGTGGCACATCTGTCATCAGGATAAAAAGCATATCATTAAAATGAATGCCCAAGAAGAATATGGTATCCATATAAATGTAACTTATGATACTATATTCTCTAAGATCACCATTGTATGGATGTAGAGTTGACCTGCGTCTTTCTGTGTCCATTCTATGCTGATTTTCATAGAAAAGGTGTAAGCTTGATTTTGTTTGGTGCTTCAGTTTTGATGCTAATATACTGAAGGGCCAATTGGATTTGGGTAATTGATCACTCTTGTAGTTACTAGTGTGTCTCATTGAGGGTCTAACATGAACACTAACATTGATATATTCATTTCTATTATCAAACGTTGGGATTTGGTTGGTGTGTTTCAATATTTTGTCTCCAAGTGAAACATCAGAGGGAGGATCGTAGATGTTTGGAATGTCTGCACTGCGGACTAAAATGATGGGAGTATGCTTGAATGATGTAGCAGCTGAGTAGATGTCCTTGATGTTTGCTGTTTCTTCATCACTTGATAACTCCACTATAATACATCATCAAATGAAGTGAGATTAAAAAATGTAGAACAGGAATTTTTCACAAAGGAAAGCGAGGCATTGGGATAACACGTGCAACATAAAACAAAGTATTAACATGCAAAATGTCACCACCTGCCATTTGCTACAGATGCTGATAGCCGAATGCCAACTACCAAACACCAGCCACCAACTGTGGGACACCATCAACAAAAAAGTTTGAGACCGTGCAATATGTCACCACTTGTGGGGGTGACATAAAAAAGAATCAAGTACAAGATGAAGAATGCTTGATGCAGCTTCACACATGAAATTACTCATGCTCAACAACACCATGCTTCATTTGAAATGAAAGGGAAAGAAAAATATATATGTGTAAGTTTCTAGAGAATCCTAATCATAAATTAACAAACGTATACAAAACAGAGGTTCAAAGAAAAACATATACTTTCTCCATCAACTCTACGCATTATAAGGATAACCAAAGACACAGCAACCTTTGGAAAAATTATATTTTTGTCCAATTCTTATAGATCCATTTAACTCTTAATGTTAAGCAAATATCTTGTGTTTAAATACCATACCTGCCCCTGGTTCTTCACTGTTGGCAAAGTCATTGAGCAAGCCTATAGTGTCATCAAACGTCATTGCTTTGATGTTCAGGGAGCATAAGATGGCTTCCTTATCAACCAGCGTTGGATCATCTATCGCTGGTTTGCGTGCAGAGAGTATCGTGCACATGTCACATAGGTTTATATTCATGGCACGAAGGTTGGCTCTATTCAATGGAGACCCCTGTTGGAAAGGAAGTCACGATTGATATACTTTACATGTCATTTGGTCCAAAAGACTTCAGTTACTTAACGACTATGCATCATTTGTACCTCAACTTTTAAACTCAAGATTACAGCATACACAAGAGTACTTTAAGTGTTATACTTATGAATACTTGACTTACATTTAATATGATCAATTTTGGAAAATTACATAAAGTTTTCCACTCTTTGCGAATGTAGTCAACATTGCCGACAATGACGACATGTTTTAACTCGTGGTAATGAAAGTTGCTAGCCCGTAGCGGCATGACCAGGTTGCGTAGGCCAATCAGAGGTGAGTTGGCATCAGCGAACAGACACACGACAACATGGTTGCTCAGCATGAAGCTAGTGGCTTGGTCACGATCCTGCAAAATGGAATTGAAGTGAATTAATGATGTGTGCATCTTCAGAATTTATTTCCTCCAGAGTTAACCTTTTTATCTTTATTGAACTTAACTTTTTTAAACTAAGTCATTGTGAAAAAGGACAAAAAACACCATTGGAAAACACATAAACACAGATGACATTCACTCATTTGGCTTTCTTCTTCAGTAGATCAACCCTTACAAATGGGGTGAATCAGAGAGGGAGGCAGTTATCGAAGATACACCACTCACCATAATAACTTCTGTAAGCTTTTTTTCAGGGCACCAATGGAACATCCCAGTGGAGTCAAATCTTTTCTCATTGTCTGCGATATCCATGGAACTTTCCTTCTTCATGCTAGGCTTCTCTACAGTTAATTGTTGGCTCTTTGTCATGCTGCAACGTAACATCCCTTCTTAATAACATAGAATAGTCCATTGGGGTTATTTTGGGTGGATGCATTATATCTTAATGAATAAAAGGGGTATTAACATAAGATTAACTAGAAAAACAGCAACTCCACGGAGTAGCAAATCCCACCGAACAAAACATGTTTTGATAAAAAAATTGAGCCAAATACATCCACTGGTATTTGAATTATCAAAGAGTATGACTTTATGGTTGCCATTTTGAAATTCAGCTGTCATCTTTAGATTTATTCTTTAGCAGAGAATAACCGTCCAATGGTATCTGGGTTATCAAAGATTACCTTTTTAATGAAAAACGGCAGCCATTTTGAAATTCAGCTATCGCCTTTGAAATTTCTTCTGAAGCAGATTTCCTTTTTCCCTAAACATCAGCATATAAAATTGGAACCAAATCCATCCACTAGTATTTGATTTATCATTAATTACGTTTTTTTACAAAAAATGGCGGCCATTTTGAAATTCAGTGGTCATCTTAAAAATTTATTTTTAGCAGATCTTCTTTGTCTCTAGGCATCAGCATATAGAATTTGAACCAAATCCGTCAACTGGTATTTGAGTTATCAAAGGTTACGTTCTTTTATGAAAAATGGCGGCCATTTTGAAATTTAGCTACCACCTTGAAAATCCCTTCTCGAGCAGAGCTCCTATGTCCCTAGGCATCATCATGTAAAATTTGAACCAAATCCATTCAATGGTAATTGAGTTATCAAAGATAATGTTTTTTTATGAAAAATGGCCGCCATTTTGAAATTTAGCTGCCATCTTGAAAATCCTTTCTTGAGCAGAGCTCCTATGTCCCTAGGCATCAGCGTATAAAATTTAAACAAAATCCATTCAATGGTATTTGAGTTATCAAAGATAATGATTTTTACGAAAAATGGCCGCCATTTTGAAATTTAGCTGCCATCTTGAAAATCCTTTCTCAAACAGAGCTCCTATGTCCCTAGGCATCAGCATCTAAAATTTGAACCAAATCCATTCAATGGTCTTTGAGTTATCAAAGATAACGTTTTTTTACGAAAAATGGCCGCCATTTTGAAATTTGGTGGCCATCTTGGAAATGTCTTCTTGAGCAAGGCTCCTTTGTACCAAGGCAACAGCATATAAAATTTGAACCAAATCCATCAACTAGTATTTGAGTTATTAAAGATTACATTTTTTCCAAAAAATGGCCGCCATTTTGAATTAAGCGGCCATATTGAAAATTCCTTCTTGAGCAGAGGTCCTACACCTATAAGGCATAAGCCCATAAAATTTGAATGAAATCCGTCAACCGGTATTTGAGTTATTGCCCGGACACACGAACGGACGGACGAACGGACGGAAGAACGGACGGAAGAACGGACGGACGAACGGACGGACGGACGGACGGACGGACGGCTTCTCTATATCCCCCTCGAACTTCGTTCGGTGGGATAATAACTCATTTTTGATGATTTTATGAACACATCATCAATCTGATTCAGTAAAAATAAAACAGATAAATAAAACATTGGAGTGTTATGTGAACATGCATTTTAGTTCTGTTTTGTCAAATTGGAACAATACCAGTCACACTTGAGCACTTTTAGTTACTTAATGTGATCCTGGGGTACATCTTTGGTACAGCTACATGTACACTGCTTCGAAAAAAAGATTTACTTTTCAGCCGAATGGATCAAAGAATCAAATAAAAAATTCAAATCCATTTTCATCAAAGTAAAAAATAAACCCTGTGAAGTGATGTGAGATGTGATGTCACAGTCTGAATCTAAACGTGTTGGCAGAATGTGCATTGTGATTACGATGAATGTGCTGCATTCTGACTACTGACTATTGTGTTTCACTTTGCGAAGTCAGGAAGTTGTCATGGTAATTGACCAAGGTGCACCATAAGAATTTCAGATATACTGCAACCCACACAACAAATGCTGAAAAATTAACTGGCCCATATCGAAACTAACATCCCTTTTGGCAAGTGCTTATATGGTACACTCTGAGATTTTCTTTCAGCTACAAACATATTCTCATACTATTCTTATTTTTGCTATCTGATACACATATACTGGTACTATAGTGTACTGTTCTACAAGGGGCTGATAGGGATCTGGGATAACACACCTACAAAACCTTATCCCTTATCAACCCCCAATATAAGCATATTTCATGCCAGTACAACAACAGGCTAAAGAAATTCAATCTTATGTTTAGCTTCATATTTTTGTTTAGAAACAAAGGAATGAGGCCTTTAAGTTTGTAGTATTCTCAAAATTTAGTAAAAATAGATGTAAGATAAAATTGATATGTTAAGAAAAATAAACCCTGATTTTTAAATATTATCATTAAGAGGGTTTTACCATGATATATGAGATGCTTAACATTTTATTTTGCATACCATAGCCTTGAGATTTCCATATTCTATTGAGAGTGCACCAATATTTCAATCAATGTCCACAAACAAGTAGTGAAATAAGCAAAGGGATTGAAGCCACTATTGGTTGTTTTAATTCACTTATATAAAGGTAAGCATCCTTTTTTGAAGTGCAAATGTAGATTTAGCTGTTTGTGAAGATATACATTGATATAATGGTGCAATCTCCAATCTCCAATTTACATTCACGACGATCCTCCAAATGCAGGGCTCAGCTCCAAATATCATCCACTATGTCCCTTCTTACAGAAATAAAGGAGATGTTCTGGAGGCCTGTGTTTGGAGGATGATTCTCTACATATTGTGACATCATAACCTGCTACCTTAAGCACCATATTTAAAGCATTACTGTGGCCTACATTGTCCATAACATGGTCGTGGATGAAATACTACCTAAACAGTGAGTGGTACAATACAATACAATTTACATACACTTTATGTGTAGGCTAGATCAACATTCATTCCTATGTACATGTATATATACAATACATCGTAGACCAAACATTTCACCCATGGGGTAACCACTTTCCTATCATTAAATGGCAAATACAGCAAGGAACATTTACCAAATCAAGGCATAGACATCATCAAATTCTATAAAAGGGACAAAAGAAGAAAATCTCATGAGAAAATTTAGTCAATAATATAATAGGCAAATGCTAACATCATCAACAGAAATGATCACAAGTATCCATACGATAAGATGATATTGATAAAATATGAATATATTGAAAGGGGCATGAACAAATTCACTAATAACTAATGAAATACTGCTCGTGCAATACCAAAGAGGATATACTGTACAATATTGACTGAATTAAATGAAAGAACATTGGTCATTTGTTTTATTTTTTATTTAGAGCATTTAGATATTAAAGGACCTGAAAACCATGAATGGCACAAGGAGATGGGTTGTGTGAATCTGGGATGTATGTGCTGTGGAGCTGTTGCTATTAGTGTGGGTAGTTGTGGGGTTTGGGAAAAATGGAGGGAAATTCAACATATGTTTTGCTGGATTACCATTTCTTAATGTATATGTCAGAGTCACTCGGACAAGATAATTTATATGGTCTTGTACTGATGGTCTTGTATTTGTCTTGTACATGTGCTCCCTTTGGTAGAGCAAGGGCATGATTAGCCCCATGCGTGATAATAGCCACTGTTTGGTCTACAGGGACATCAAAAGATGCATCGGCATATGCTAAATTGTCATACGTGTCAACATTGATGGATTGGACAGATCCCTGAAGCTCTTGTAGAATTGTCACCTCCGTATCAAGAGTGGTTTCACTCGGAGTGTCCTTCGTTGCTTCATCCACAACCCTAAGAGTTTGCATATTAGTAAAGAGCAATTCTGTTAGTTAACCAAACATAAGGCTAGTATTCATCACTTATAACCACTCACTAGTGCCATATTATCAAGTGTCTTACGTGGTTTACCATAATTTATTTCTGTGTCACAAGCATTTAAAAATATCATCAGTATAAAACATTTTTAAAACGTTGCTTTCACCTGGTGCCGGCTCATGAGATGCCAGTTTTAACATGCAGGTTTAACACATCAGAATTTAATATATGTAAAAGTGCTGTAAAATGGCAAACTGATATTTTATAAAATTGTTAAAAATTATTTGGTAAATCTATAAACTTTCGTAGCTGATATGTCTGTTCATACATAATACAATGCAAGATATAAGACAAGACATTACAAAATACTCTTCTGGATCAGTTATCAAATATTTCTAATCAATTTGAGTCAGACATACAATGTGCCACATTAACTCAACATTGTAGTTACAAATTTCAAATAATGCCATCATTACTGTTTAAAGAAAGTATTGACAATACATACTTTGCTATAGCAGATCCTAGTCTGTTTTTCTTGAGTGTCTCTGGGGACACTCCTACACCTATTTTGCCATCTGTAGGTGCCTTCTTTCCCTGTTTCCCCAGCTTGGCCATAGGCATATTGACTAGAATAAATACAATCAACTTATCAAATTAAATCTAACCATATGCGATGTCATACTACTTGTACTTTTTAAGCTGAGGATGTGTTTGGGTGAACATACAATATACTAAACACATACTAATTATTAGTTCAACACAAATAGCCGAATAAGCAATTTGGGTATTATTTAAAATTTCAGAACTTCATGTAATTTTTATCATTAGGGGTTTCTTCAACTGAAACATGCATTGGTGGTTAAGCATTTAGCGCACTAGGTGCATCTGTATACATTAAATATTGCATTCATATCACAAAAACATAAAAAGCATTCACAACAATCAGTTTGGCATTCAAAATAGTAAGCAGTGGTTTCAACATAGAGCAAATGAAAAAATATTTCATCTACTGATTTCATTTGTGACAAGATGTTGCAAGGGAAAGGCAAAAGTTAAAATGTACAATACTGCATGTCTTCATCACATCAACATAACATAATGTCTTTTAAACCAACATTATTAAACGCCATCAATTGTGAACCAATATGTGGACAGCTTTCCAAATGGTACTAAATATAACCCATGCGTTTCAAGCCAGATGTTGTTGATCCTTTTACATACTAATTAGCCTAGTGTGGGTTCAGCCTCAACTATTGGTCATGCAGACAACTGCACTGTCACAGAGAAGCATAATTAATGCGGCACTGCTGATGACATCACAATTCATTGATAACATCACAATGTTTCCATGACATCACAATGGATTGATGATACAACAATGAATATAAATCAAACAACCAATCAAGAGAGCCAAGCAGCATCCCAATTCAAGCTAAACAGCCACCAAATATTATGGACGTACACCCACTAGAACAAATATGTGAAAATCTAGAACAGCCTCATATCAGTGCAATATATCTACAAAAGAGATAATATAGTTTAGACTCGGATGACGTCCATGCATTCCTATTGGAGAATAGGACAACTTACAAACTTGGAGATCTTTGGAATCTTTCTTTGGGAGTAGAGTTGATGTCACACCTAAGAGTTCATGAAAACAAAAGGAGGAAAAGATGATATTGAACAAATTAAAATTGACACATACAAATGGTATCATGAAAATAAGGTTAAGTCCAATTCTAATTGTAAACTGCTTATAAAATTTATTTTCAGTTCTGAACATTCAATATCTGGGTGTCACCTTTTAAAGGCATTGGTTTTTAATATATACTTTACTTAAAATTGACAGGGACTATCCTTAAGGGCAGATGTTCACTAAAGGCCTTATGTCTATAATACCACAGGCCCATAGCCAGCTTTTGCCACGGGAGAGGGGGTTCAGTTTTTAAAAATTTCAGGAGGGGGGTCTTTGACCATTTTGGCCCAAATCAAAGTGGTGATAAACTGTATGATTATGAAAAAATTCAGCCAAGTTCGCTCAAACCCCCTGAACCCCCTGGCTCCATGTCTGATATCACATGCCTGATACTAAAGGCATAACTTGTAATCTCTCCTCTGATAATGATTACAATGAATGAATATAAAAGCAATGAAAAGCAACGTAATCAATCTCAGCGATATCCAATCACAAAATGAGCAATAAAGTGATGTAAAAGATAACAATCAAAATCCCTCTCAGAAGAAACAAAATGTGAAAGATAATAAAATGAGAAACATCAATACATCAAGAAACATAATAAGAGGAGGATGAACAGAACATCCTGAGGAAGAAGCAATTTCCCATGGCCAAATCATTCAAAGAAGTCCTGACCAGTAAAGGATGTGCAATGTGATTCAACTAAGCCAGTCCTAGTTAGAGATACTGATATTATATTAATGATGTAATATAGACATAGATGACCATTAAACAGCAAAATAAGAAAAGTGAATTGAAATTAGTAAATACCCGAGTTTGATGATAATACTGTTAATGATGTAATGTAAACCATACCAAAAAACAAAATTTCTGCGGAAATTGTGAAATAGAAAAGTTTGAATATCGTCCCAGTAAATATTGAGAAATCTGTGATCAATTAAAAATGCAAAATCTGGCTTAGAAGTGTTTTAAGATAGTGTAATATAACAGTTATAGTGGAACCCTAAATACAGCCTGCTAAAAAGTAAATCCAAATTTCCAAGAGAAGAGTGTCTGATGCAGTTTTCCATCCAAGGTTACCCAAACAAAATGTACCTTGAGGTTTAGGGATTGCAGTACTTATTCTTTCTGTGATACCTAGAGCACAGGCCACATTCAAAGCTGGAAGAGAACAACCTGATACAAGCCAAATAATGTACAGAGGATTCAGAATGGGGGTAAATTTGGTCCCATATCGTGACATATAATAGGAATCTTTTGCTTAATCTTTTAAGGTGACAGGAAAACCCAAGGCAGACATTTCATTTTGTTTTGAAGTTTTTTGTTCTCACTGAGGCCCTATTAGGATCACGATGACATTTGTCCACTTGTATGCTTATTCTAATTATTGTTCCCTAAACTTGTATTTTTTCTATTTCAGTGTTTAAAATGACGATGCTTTCCCCCAGAAAAGTGGCAGCATTTATTCAGCTGTATGGTCCAGGTACAGTGGCCCCAACTGCCAATGCTACTTGCATTTGTCTAGTTTACATCATGCTATGTTATGTTTTATATATATATATTGCAACTCCAAACAAATTACAACAATATATGAGATACGATTATAGGGGGTTGAAAAAGGAGAAATAAGAAACCAGATAAATCAGAGAATACCTCAAAAGATATATCAGTATAACGTGTCAATGGACAGAGGACAAACATGTACATACAAAGTAAATTGATAAATCAGAGAATACCTCAAAAGATATATCAGTATAACGTGTCAATGGACAGAGGACAAACATGTACATACAAAGTAAATTGATAAATCAGAGAATACCTCAAAAGATATATCAGTATAACGTGTCAATGGACAGAGGACAAACATGTACATACAAAGTAAATTGATAAATCAGAGAATACCTCAAAACATATATCAGTATAACATGACAATGGACAGAGGACAGACATGTACATACAAAGTAAATTGATAAATCAGATACATGTATGAAATAAGAGATCATGGTACACAGCAACAGCTCATGCAATGATATGTTTAAATAAACAATATTGAAGACGACTGAAGACAATTTGAATCATAAGAGAGAGTAAAAGAATTATCCCTTTGAAATATCCAATCACATAATATGCATGCATATGTATTCATTTTCAGGGAAACTCCATCCCCAAAAGTGTCAGAATTAGAGATATATCCATTATCATCATTTAGCAATGCTATTTAACATTAATATCTCATACTCTTTTTTCTTCCATCATAAATAGCATAACCCAAATCACATCTTATAAACAAGGCAATGAAATAACAGACAGATGGCATCAGGCCAAAGACATTACAAAGAGCCAGAGTCAAGTCAGAATCAAGAAACCACAAAGACCCGAAACCCAAGACCAGATAATACAACAATTATAAAACTGTATGATTCTGTACCCAAAGCTTCTGACGTGGTGATTTGGCTGTCAACACTGGTAACTGGTACATTGAAACCTTTGCCTCGTTGCTGGTTAAATGCTAAAGAAATAATACAATATGTAAGTATTAATGTGATTCATGTGTCTCATGCTACCTAAAAGGTGACTTATACAGTGGGTGCAATTATAATCAGTGATTTATGTCTTATACTAATGCTTCTACATATAAATCTTAAAAATAAAAGAACTATTGGTCATTCTTAAAAAGTACAACCACAAAATTCTTCATTTCTATTTCACAATTCATTAAAATCTACAATATTAATAAGTTTCAACATGTTTTCATTACTCTTGTAAAATATGATTACAACGATTATACAAATCATTACAAATTCCTATTTTGATAATACTTTTGTGTTATTACATATAAATGGTCATGTACAATTTCCTGGAATGACGTAAGGTGAAATCTGAAAACAAATATATGGGTGGGAGCTGAAAAGCAATTGAGAATAAAGAGAGAGAAAAGTAGACAAAAAATCAAGGAATATTAATATAAAAAGTAATAATTATGTAATAAGTTCTTCTGTTTATGATAAATATATACCAAATTACCAACACATTTATATTTCTACAAAACAGTTCTCCAAATTGAAAATCAAACCAAAACTAGAGGATAATAACAAGAGAAAATAAAACAAAATTCATAAATATAATGAAACTTAATTGTTTTTGTTATATAATCATGAAATAAATAAAAAAATCAAAAAAATCATTGGAAATGAACTTAACAGATATGAGGTTTCAAAAAGACCTAACTGGCCAGGATTTATTATTAAGTATACATCAACTTAAAAAACACTTCAAATAACAAAAACCGTAAGAACACTTGTAAGTATGTGTATTTTTGAGACAAATGTTATCGATCAGATATAAACAAAAATGATCTATTGCCAAACAAATGCAGGCTGATTTTAACAAATTGAATTTAACAAAATTGAATGGAGTTAAAGAATAAAAATAATTTTAAATAACAAAAGATTCTGATGGATCATGATATAATAGAGAAAACACTTCAATAAAATAAATTATAACATCTGATAAAATGAGATGATATAACCATGGATGTAAAACATTTTGTGTGGTTCAGGTACTGACCAGTTGTTTTTTCTACTGTCTTTGATGTAGCTACTGAAAAATAAGTCAGTTGTGTCTGCATTAATTTTGTTATTATTTATTACTAGGTATAAACATTGGATATGAGGTAAGTATAATCATAAATTCTAATAATATCTATATAATATAATTGGATCCTGACTTTAAACATATTTACATTTTTTAGACATCTTACAAGTGACTTAAGTGATGCAAAAGCAACAATGAGTGAATATGCAGAGCAAATACTGACAACTAGTGTTTTTTTAAATATTTCTTTCCCAAATCATTTCTGATATCTGTTGGGCTAATAATTTTACAATTTAAATTAAATATTAGACAACAATAATTCACACACATAATGGAGAAACTCAAAGTATAATTATATACCGTAAAATAATACATATTCTCTATTTTATGTAAATAATTTGAATTTAGCAGGAGATAATTTCGCAAAAAGAGAGTGAAATATGAAGTTTTTTCAGAAGTAGAGACCACTAATTCAGTAGTGACCACTAATTTTCAAGTCATTTGATCATTTTGTGCAACTTAAATCTGTTAAGGGTTATGCAAACTTCGACGTTTGGGGTTACTTTGTCATAAGGATATTTCGACCATGGAGCTATTTAGAGAATGGCTTATATTTTCGCTTCACACATTCTGCCATGTTTGTTTTTTGAAAATTTAAAAATAAATCGAAATCTCCAATGGGCGAGGAAAGGTCTTAATCCAAGATCGCTGACCCTAGAAATGTGATTTACCGGCCATGGTAGAAATAACCCCATGGTCAAAGAAGCCCCATGACAAAGTAGCCCCATATGTCGAAGTTCAACAGAAAACCCCTAGTAAAAGATGTATATAGTTTAATTTTTATACAGATACATAAAATTCAAGTTTATCCAATCACTTCTATTGCTCTGTGTTAAACAGTGTATGTAAACATGGATTGACTTTTCTAAAGTGAGTGTGAAAGAAAACATATTAATTTTTTGTACTGACCACTACTAGTTATTGCAAGTTTGTTCTTAAAACCTGAAATAGTTCAAAAATTCTATTAAAAATTTCGATTACAATTTTTTTAGCTCAAGAATGCACTTATTAATAGTTAAACACAAAACAGTATAAAATCTAATAACACTTTAATTGATTGTCTAAGTAATGTTTACCCTAGTAACTAACCGCTGGTACTTGGCTTAGCCTCTTGGAATGCATTAGATACTAAAACAAGATTTCATAATAATACAGCTTAAGAAAGTATCAAACTCTTTTCATGAATAAAAGGAAACAGAGCTGTCTCCCAAAAGAAAACAGAAGAGACATATTCATGTGTGCAGACTTATAAGATACATAAGTACATGTATATAGACCAAGAGTAGAGAGTCATTATGGTCAGAGAAATACTTAAAACAGTAAAATACATAGAAGTCTTGTACCAAGTCTGGTTCCATGCATGTTGTCTAATTTACAACTTGGAGAATGGAAGGGGGGGGGGGGGTGCTCACAAGGGCTCAATGCAAAACTACTGTTCTAAGTTTGCATATTTATCAGACATTAATATATAATATTGATATACTTGGAAATTGAAACTCTGAAATGATAAGATCATTTAGTATGGAACCACTGTAATATCAATATGCAACTTAGCTATTTAAAATATTGCAGGTATTTTCTATTGAAAACAGAAGCAGAAATATTGTGTATATATACACATATATATCTGTTTTTGTTTGATATAAAAGTATATCTATGTTTTCAAATTTTGGTTGGAAATAAATCTTAGTTGAAATTTGGTTGTTTAATGATGCAAATGTATGCTCTATAAAGAAATGTATAGAATCAGAAAATGCCCTGTTTCAATATTGTATACAGAGGATTATGGTCTTTCATAACCAAGATAAATTTACAACCTTTTAGAATCATAGAGGATTAGTCCGTCTATTGAACTACAGGATGGTCAAAAACATAACTCACTCCTTATAACAGAGTTAAATTCATCTTATTTTCTCAAAATCTCTTGTAGTTTATCTGGCCTATATATATAATAATAAAAAGGTAATTTTCTCAAAATTTCTAGAAGTGGGTTACATTTTATTCAATCACTGTGTACATGTACATTTGATGTGATCAACAATAGGTGGTCAACTTCTCTTTGCATAAATTAAATTCAATTATTAGAAATACAAAACCATAAAATAATATGCCCCATGCAGAAAGATGTGTTACTGTAAACATACAAAAATACCCAATTATAAACTTGTGGAATATTAAAAGGACAGACAGCATAAAGGAATGATCAATTATTGTGAATCTAGATTTTAAGTATTTTAGGAAATTGGTAACAATAGATGCAAGTTAAATACCTGAACATATAGCATTTGATATGACATGGCCAATAAAGAATGCCAGTTAAATACTTAAACCTACAGCATTTAATATGACATGGCTAATAATGAATGCAAGTTAAATACTAAACCTACAGCATTGACTATGACATGGTCAATAATGAATGCCAGTTAAATACTTAAACCTACAGCATTTAATATGACATGGCCAATAAAGCAATGGTCAAGGCTAAATGCTGACTAAATATACAGTTTTACAGCTTTTCGGCTTTAGTAAAGGAATTCTTTTAAAGGAATGGAGAAGTAAATTGTCTCTTAAAGGAATGCAACACATGAGATTAACTAGTAAATTGTCTCTTAAAGGAATGCAACACAAGGTATTGACTAGTAAATTGTCTCTTAAAGGAATGCAACACAAGGTATTGACTAGTAAATTGTCTCTTAAAGGAATGCAACACATGAGAGTGACTAGTAACTTGTCTAATGTAAGGGAATGCATTTAAAGGAATTCTTTTAGAGAAATGCTTTCAAAGGAATGGAGTAGTAAACAGTTTTCTTAAAGAAATGCAACACTTAAAGGGATATTCCTTGCCAGACCATTTCTCTCCTGGTAGCTATAGCCATGCATGTACTATCCATATTAGCAAAACACAGGAAAGCGTTTTGATATGGTCTTTATTTATCATTTAAAAATGCAGTGCTCATTTCCAATAAACTGCCTTCTTTTAAAATTTCCAACAGGAAGTGATGTCAAAAACTCAAATTTTTTATAATCTTTCCCATAACAATTTCTAGACAAGTGGTTCTGATGCTCTGTGTAAAAATATGCAGGGCTTATCAACTTAGAATTAAAGAGATTATCTGAAGAATTAATTGAAGAAGCATATTCAGAGTTTTGTCCTTCTAAATACCTCCTTACCTAATAATGTTTATATGCAGATGAAAGAGCCGATGGCATCACTTCCTGTGTGAAATCTTAAACAATGGCAGCCTACCAGATTATTACTTCATTTTCAAATGATTATAATTGAGCATATCAAAACATTTCCCAGTGTTATGCTAAATATGGAACGTATATCCATGTACGTGATTATAGCTACCATATTAGAAGACAAATGGTCTGGCAAGGAATGTCCCTTTAAGACTCACTAGCATTGGTAAATTAGCTCATAAGTAATGCAATATGGTTAATGGAGTTGCAGCACTATTTCTCATATACAATATAGCATGGTTTTGTCTATACTTGCAGTCATAAATCTATCAGTAAAATGCATGCCATTATACAATTAATGTATATATTAATTTGGGGTAAACAATGGCATAATCATTTTACTTACGCATATGTATGAACATCAAATCACTGAGAATAGCTGGAATTTCAAATTTGGACAGAGTTATTATTGTATTGTGGTAGGTTGAAAATGTCATTCTGAACTTACAAAATGAATTCAATCATGGAAATTGAATCGTAGTTAATCCAACAAGATTTCAAAAACATGAATTTGTCATCACATCATTTCTAAATTAGACATGGTTAATTCACAAAGGATTATATCACAAGGCCAAAGTTAAGGATTATTCAAAGTAAGGGATTATTGATTAGGAATATTTAAGTATGTTTGCAGTTCCACAGAGGAAAGTGATTGGACATGCATATATAAAGTAAAATAAGAAATTGTGTATTTTATAAACAGCATTGCAAAGTTGTTAAATTTATGACTCGTGGAGTATTGTAACATTGAGACACATTCAACAGTCATTATTGGGACCACTCCAGTGACAAAAGTAGCAGAAAATTTTGTTGTGATTTGGTGCCTTTATGAAAACGATTTCTTTTCACCACTAGTTGATGATTTAACAACATTCAATGCATTTACAGTATACTGGTACACATCCTTCAGTTTGGATAGCTATGTGAAATTGTAAATTAAATGCTCTCATTGACTAGAGTGTGGTTTGTAGTGATTATTCATCAGGACAATGTGACCAAAGAACATAAAGAGGGAAAACATGATAAATCTTTTTTATATCAGTTTTTTGCATGTGTAGAGATATTAGGTACAACCGTGGATATGGCATGCCTTTGCAAAGAAAATATCAAATTGATATACAGTACAGTAAAACATGTGCATAGTTAACACCTTCCATCAAAAATATTCACTGTAGGTAGGTGCTTACTATAAAGGACTTTTACAAAGAATTAAAAAGAGTGTTTCAAAAAATGGAGAGAGAGAGGTGTTCAAAAAGGTATTTGTTCTATCGACCATAAAATCTGTATTCAGGGAGCTATCAAAATTATCATGAACAATTTTACATGAACCTCTGAGAAAATTGTGAGAGTAAATGCAGAACCAGGGGATACAATTTGAGAAATGGAATGAGCTTTAGCAAATAATTTGAAGAAAATTTGTGCATGAGAGAGTCTGGTTATTCAGTATTAGTAACACAGGTAGAACTGGCAACAGAGAACACCTTAAATATAGGAATGAGAAAATATTGAATAAAAATATAAAATAACAAAGTATGTAAAAATGGTGAGTGATTCGTAACCTCAAGCGTCACTCTGTATCTCTCTTATTCACAAAATTCATTAATTTTTCATACAGAAAGTGACCTTTAAGTTACGAGATCAGCCAACCATTTCTTGCTCTAGATGTGAAAAGCGACACTCAAATGTGTAAAAATAGTAAAACTTGGTTATATAAATCTACCTAACACTGCCGTGGCTCCCTTCTTGAACAGTTTCACTATTAGGCGAAAAACAGTTGGAATTAGTATATATATTTGGATATTATTGGTTGGTTTTAATAGCAATTTTAAGGTGATTTTGGAATTATTGAGTCAATGTTATTCATCTACGTAGGAAATTTTGAGGATATATATGACTCTGTTCAGAAGAACGAAATGACCAAATGAAGATTATATTAACTTTATTTAAAAGTACAGTATGTTACGTAGATGAATAATAGTGACTGGTTGTTGAATAGATATAGATATAGATGTGAAGCAATGAAACTGGGGATCAACTGCAAATTCTTCATCTGGAACACAGGCCATGCTGAAATGAAGACATTGTTTCCAGTTGATCCCCAGTGAATGTAAAAATTAATAATTATGAATTTTCTATTCTGAATTTTGAAAACCAAATCATATCATTTTTGTTTAGATTATGATAAGTTCATAATTCTCTAAAAAATTCAGTATGTTATTGAAATTCTTGACAAAGTATTTCCTTCAGTCTTCTGGGAGAACAATACATCTTATGAATAATCAGGAGTCTATTCCTAAATTGTTTAAGAACTGGACTCTTGATAATATTATGAATTATCACATTATCATACAATCTAATTTATAGGAAATTTCTTTCGAGATAATCAAGTAGTGATATTGTTAGATGGAGTAATATGATTGGTTGGTCAGTTATATTGTATCACCTCCTCACGTTGGCCCATGCACAAAGTTCACCACAACTAGCATGCGTCTTAGTGCATCGAGCACAAACAATACAGTTGTATAATATACAAAGTAAATCTAAGAACATAATCAGTATTTTTCGCTGAATTTAAAAAAAAATCAGTTTGATCTCAGAACCAATGAAAATACATGTTGCAAAATAACTGTTTGCAAAACTAAAGATACCTTAATAATTGGACAATGTAAAAATGTTTCTTAATATATATTGTTTGTACGTAGTAATGTTAAGTCAACAGTAACGCATGCCCGATATGATAAAAGACAGAAAATATCCACAACAACATTGAGTGTAAGAATACATTGAAGCCAATGAGGGGTGTTATAGTTTAGCAAATTATTTCTTGGATACTCAATCATAATAATATGTTTTGGGTGGCTATTGGGTATTTTGTCAACTGAAATCAGCAGAGGTGTAAGACTATTAATAAAAATGATGTAGTTTATTGTATCAAATTGTACAAGGGTGACATTTAAATGTTGATTCAAGTTTCTTAAACTTGAGTATTTTTTATCTTCAGAACAAATAAATCTGACCCTTTCTTTACTGTAAATAACATGTCTACCATACTGAACAAACAAAATTTGTACTAATTATTCTCATAAATATATTTTATGTGAAAGTTAGTGTATAATTTGTCCTCTTAATTTTGAAAAGAAACTGCTTGCAAATTACTTTATTGTTAATTTTCAGTACTCCAAGTTTCCTTTTATTTCAGTTTAAATATTGGTAAACATGTTTTAAATGAATATATATACTGCAAATAAATATACATAATGAATTTGTCTAATATGCATTCTTCAATACCTGTTGTTCCATCTATTGGGCAATGTATAAATTAATTCAAAGTAAAACAAATCAAAACTGGTATTGTTCTTGTTTGATTATTATGCCATTTGATTAGTATTTCATTTGTCTAATTCACATCTACCAATTAAACTTTAATCTACAAGTTTCTAGTATCTCTAATAGGTGCTATTATAGCTATCATATCCTATTCACTAAGCATTTCACAACCAAACCATGCCTTTCTGAGCACAGAACTCAAATTCAGAGTTATAACAAATCTTTTATGTTCTCTAAAGAAAGCTTAGTTAATGAAAATCTTCCTTGATGAACTTGACTGTAAAATGCTGATCATATAAAAAAAGACAATCGTTAACTTGAACATGAAAAGCTGAAGTTTGCAAGTTTTATGTATTCTGCGTCTCTACTGTTTTCAAGTTTTTCAAAAGTTAAAATAAACACATAATTTGCCTTCTTTGGGGTCAATTAATATGTTAATGATTTCAATTTTTATATCAAGAATTTTGTCATCAACCTAAAAATTATTGAGTCTGTATTCAAAGTGACAAGGATTGGTTGGGTCATTTAGGTCACTTACATGTTCGACAGCGACATTTTTTGATTGCTCGAACATCCGTTACATCTTCATGACAAGCTTTACAATAGTAACAGGCTCTGAAACATAATACATTTCAAATTAAACGTGCGAAAAGGGAGTGTTGAGTAATAATAACTCATCCCTAAATTAACCTGCATTTGTGTTCAAGTTGGACATTGGATACATTGTGTGTAAATAGATGTCGCTATGTGTTATTTATTTGTTTTAGTTGGGCCAGACTGACATAGGCTTCAATGTTAAAAACTGTGTGTGACCATTGGGCCTATGGAAAAATCTTGAAAAAGATAACCATGTACATGTGGAGGTGAATATTTTTACAGTCCAGTACGAATTACCTTTTAACCTCTTCTGCAGATTGAGCAATAAAGAAGCCCTGTGTATTGGACTCTATCTTGATGTTGTTCCCTGGGTTAATGGCAATGCAACTTTCATTGCCATCTTCACTTCTGGCCTCTATGGCAATAAGTAACAACTTAAGTTTGATGAAACACAGCCTGAAATAGCATGTTTAACATTTACTGGATTCCTGGATTATAATAACATTCATTATTACATTTAAACATTCAATGAACTGATGTATAGAGAAATAACCCAAATTTATAACTTTTTGAATTCAATACAGTTTATATAATGCCAGTAGGGTTTTCAAAATGACAGAGCAGAATCTCAACAGACAAGGCAATTTAAAATTCTTAACATCACATTGTTGCTTAAATCCTGGTACACTAAATTCACAAGTCTTCACAGCAGCTTGTTAAGATCCTGCTGAAACAAATTCTTAAAAAGTCTTAAACTATATATGTACAGTATACTACTCACTCTGCTGCCTGTGGGAATGTCATGCTTACGAATGCCTGTGAGAGGTACTCTGTGTACATCTCCATGCCTGTGCCACGCATGTAATCATTCTGCCATTGAGGGGTATCTGGAGACTGAAATAAATCACACAGAAAATCACTGAAAATACACTAACGTGCTGGTTAACCGATTTTTAATCAGAATTCTACTTTTGAAACCTCCAAATATCGAAAATGTGAAATTCTAAAGGTTTGTGAGAATGCTACTGATGTGCATGTGAGAGAGTTCAACTGGTAACCTAAAACTGCAACTTCTTCAAGTGGAAGGTTGCAATATTTTAAATGGGAGAGAAAAGCCTGTTCATTGAAAAAGCTTTTCTTTCGTTCATTATCCCAAGGTTTATTGGAAGTTGGGTACATGTATTAAATTTTCATAAGACCATAGCAACAACAAAAAGTAGACGATTGTCATGGCTGTAAATCGACAACAATTACATCAACCAGCTGGACATTGAGTTTCCATACATCTTTAAGCAACAACTCACACATAGGGTACACTGGTGTATCACAGCCTCTCATACATATTACATACAACCATACATACTTAGCATGACACAAAGCCCAAAGAATACAAGGGATCAACATCACATAATGTCATCACCTGATACGTTAATACAAAGTTACACAAGGCATAAACAGGAAAAATGTCACCACCTGCCATTTGTTACAGACAATGACCGACGAATGAATCAACTGCCAAACACCAACCACCATCCACAAAAAGTTGTGGTGGTGACATAAAAAGTCTATCAATTTTTATACATACTGATACTGATGTATTGCTCTGGTCACCAGAGCAATACATCACAACTCTTTGGAGTGACATAAAAACCTACACAGGGCATTGTGTTCTAAATAAAGAATATCTCTCCTTCCTTCCTGATTGAATTCTTTTTTCTGAACAACATAACATCCCAAATCTTCACGGAAACAAAAAATGAGCAGTTTATTCTTAAACTAATATGGACAATGATTGTCTTGAGAGAGTATTTAAGCCTTAGTACTATATTATACTTAAGCTATAATCACAGTGATCTCTCCTGCACAGGACCCCCCTGAAATTTTGAAAATAAGCTTGCACCCATCTTAAAATCCATTTGCACCCAATGGAAAATGAGAAAAATCATGAGAAATGGGCATATTTTGACCAATTTTGGTCTGAATTGTGAAATGAGAATATTTCACCCAGTTGAGAAAAAATCCTGTGGAGATCACTGAATCAACATTCAAGAGAACAGTCAAACATAGTAGGACTGTAGAAGAGGACTAAAGAACAGGACTGTAAAGAAGGACACTGACAAAGATGTGCATATATATTCAACAATTGTGCAGAGTGCCTCAGTTGGATAGTTGACTCAAGACCTAGGGAACCTGAAGTAAGACAGATCACGAGGCAATAGGGACAAATCCTATTTGTGTACCACTTTCATCAATATTAAAACAAGACATTAACATGCAAAATGTCACAACCTGCCATTTGTTACAGATGCTGAATGTGTAGTCTTGCTTAAAAGACGCTGTATTCCCCCCCCTTTATCCTTCTCTCTTCTCTCTGTATATTGCAAGGTAAAGAGAGTGAAGGTGACGGGGGGGGGGGGGGGGTGGATACAGTCTTTGAGCAAGACTACTGAATGTGGTAAAAGATGCCAAACTCCAACTACCGAATACCAGCCACATAAAAGTTGGAGCCTATAACAATATGTCACCACTTTTGGTGGTGACATAAAAAACTGTTTAGCCAATGCACATTAGTTTTTGACATGTACATGTACTTTCAAAAAGACAAATGCTATATTTCTGTCTTGCCTCATGTTTCATCTTGCCTCACGATCCCTAGAAAAACTGATACTGCCAGAGGATGCATAACTAAATTATTAAGTGTTGAAAGGAGATTTACAGTGAGGCAACGTCCAAAATAATACATAGCTTATGACTAAGCTCGAGATTTCTTTAATGTAAAATTTAAACAAGGCATTAACATGCAAAATGTCACCACCTGCCATTTGTTACAGAGGCCGAACGTCAACCACTGAACACCAACTGCTGAACCACCACTTGGGGTGGTGACATAATAAAAGTCTTATCATAATAATACATGTCATAAGTACATTTCTTTACAAATACATAACACACAATAGTACAATACAATATTTAACTGCAAGTGCAACTTATCTAGATTAATTTATTAAGTAAACTTCATTCAAAAAGATATTTGTTTAATTTTTGACCACAAACAAACAATAGTTTGTGTAACTATTGCATACGATTTCTAATGTTGTTATGGCAACAGAAGTTTTGTTGTATAACTCTGGCTGTGTTCATCTACAATGAAACGCAGTCAGACTCCGAGAGTTCAAACACACTCGAAAGGTTCATCCATAAATGAAAATTTCACTTATACATATATTGTTAGTCAAACACTTTACCTATAGTCTGAGCTACTAAACTAATGTTCATTACAATTTTTGCTATAGTAATAGAAAGTGTCAGAAAAGAAGATTTATAGAAGTCTATAACTGGTTACATATCATAATGAAATAATAAAAAAAGATATATTTTGAGGAAATTCAGGACCATTCTTCAGAACTGACTCAATACTGCCTAGTCTAATAGACATATTTTCACTCACATACACATATAGGGGTGGAGTCCAATTACCAGCACTTGTTGAATAACATAGCTAGTTTTGCAAGGGGGAGGGGGCAAATTGTGGTTTTGCTAGTGAATAGTGCTGATTTAAAAAAAATTCAAGTCAAAGACAAATAATTATAAATATCTTAATATTTCAATAGATGAGGGGAGGGAGGGGTGAAACAATAATGAAATTAACATTGTTTTTCGACGACTGCTGATAAGTGGAAACCATCCCTTACTTAAACTGGAAATATCAAAGGAACAACCTGTTGAAGCATTTCACTTAACATTTTCGACAGTTTCACAGCTTTCAAAGCCTCCAACCTTTCAATTCATAATAATTATATAAACAATCTAACATCAAAATAATATATATCTTATGCAATCGTATGCAGGAACACTGAACTATAATATATAACAAGAACAAGTATATCTAGTGCAAGAACAACGATCAGCCATAGTCACTGTACACTGTACTGGTGTCTGCTATACCTGACTATCCGTAGCCTTAATGTCTTCCTAACAATAGAGATAGACAAACATTGAATTCGCAAGTTCTATTGGATATGATATATTGAGAGGGTCAACAGAAAAGTAAAATATTCAAAATAACTTACATACAAATTATAATAAATAATATAATACATAGGCAATAGCATGACAAATCATTATTGATTATCAGACCCCAGCATAATAATCATGCACAGGCCCAACTTTAAATATTTTACTTGTATTAGAATAAATTGGCCAGAATAAAACATATTATACATTGTCTCTGGCATAATAATTACACAAGGTATTAAGAAATTATATTTTGTCCAGAGTATAACCAAGTATAACAAATAAGCTGTGGTATAAAAATTTATACATTGGCCCTTGCACAACCTTGATACATAAGCCTGAGTATTACAAAGTATACATGGACTTAGACCTCACTTCTCAAGTAATGCACAGATCTGTGTATAAAGTATAATGTAAATCCTGAATTTAACAATTATGCATAGGCCATAACTAAATAAATATACATTGGGATGATTTAAGTCAAGTATAATAAAATCAAATAAAGCCAGAGTATAACTGTAATGACGTTTTCATGAGATATATTTATCTTAGTAATCACCATTTGAAATTGTAAATATATCTCAAGACCGCCAAAAAATACAATGCACATGGGGGAAGAGTCTATGTCTATGTACTTAAAGGAGTAGTAGAAGGGATACAGACAAGTAAAAGTTTCAAATTTTTTTGTCACAATAACTTTTGCCTATTTTCTAATCATCCAGAATTTCAGGATAATTCTTATTTTATAAATTATCCATTTCATTCCACCTGGCAATTTTTTTTACAATTCTAGTGAATCTGGGCATTTCTTAATATTACATCTTTAATAACTTCTATTTTTTATTGCAAGTGAATCCAATAATTAAATTGTAAAAATAGAAGACATTTAAAGTACATATAGCATCAAATAAACATTTAATCTATTAGATATTTCATCTATTTTCAGGTAACCAATCCAAATTTTCAAACAACAAATCGCATTTGTCAAAATATTTGATCAGTGATAATAATAATAAGCAATAAATCTAGATCTACGACTGTAAGGGATGACTTAAGAGACTATTTGATTAAAATTCGAAATTGTTCAAAAAACAAATGTTTGAGGTCACAACTATTATCTACATAACATCACGCTCATTCTTCAGTAATGTAGACAGTAACTCTGGTCTCCGGTGTAGCCAATAGATGATATTATTTCATTTTGCTCACATTTTTTTGTCTCAAACAGTCCCGTCATGAAAAGATGGTATGTTGGCTTGGAAAACAATTGGTGAATGATTGAATTTCAAACAGTCTCTTAAGATTATGAAGCCTTTCATAGTAACAGCCCCTCCAAAATGTCAATTTCATAACAGCCCTGGGAAATTATTATGATGACAATATGGTTCATTGTTTAACTATAAAAAATGGTGGTGGTTTGGATCAGATTTCCCATTGGATAAGACTGTTCTATATTTAAGCCTTCCATCACACATCTGATCTCCATCCTACATTATATTTCCAAAAATCACTTGTGAAGGTATATGTGCAAAGATGGGGGGGGGGGCTACTCTATGACTCGATGAAAGACTTCTTGAAAACTGTTCCCGATTATATCACTAGAGATTAAACTGGTAATTCTAGTTTAGAGCTTAATGCACAATTTTTCTGAGGTCTAAACTAGAATGATATATAAGCAGCTTAATGCTAGTATAAATACTGTAAATTGCTTTAATTTGGCGCTATTTAATTTGGCCGATTGGGCAAATTTTGAAATTTTGGCTACTATTTGGCAGATTGACCATGATCAATCGTATTAGTCACTTCATAGCTCGCCACATAATGCAATTTCATCTCTCCTGGAATCAGATTGTTTTGCTCAACCAACAGGCATTTTATCCATGTTTTAATCAGATTTTCACCAAAGTTTTATCGTGCAAGGTAACACATGGAATAAGCACTGGATGAAAATCCCAGGGAATTTCATTTTCAAAAAATTGGCAGAAACTTAATTTGGCGGTTTTCATCAATCCGCCAAATTAAAACAGCTGTCAAATTAAAGCAATTTACAGTATACTTGTGAATGTTAAAAAGAGGGCTCATACAAAAAAAATTGAGGAATGAAAATATAAAGTATACATACTACTTTGAAAGACCTCATGGTGAACAGGTTTGCCATGAGAGTAGAAAAGCCTGGGGCTAGACAACTCTGGGCAATGAACCCAAGCTTCAACTCCGCAACACAAACAGCATCATCTCCCCGCTTCCAGTCCCAACCTGGGATGTTCAATAAATATGCCTAGAAAGGTAAAACACACATTTACTTCATGAACCCTTTAGTAAAATAAAATCTGAAAATAAAAATTAGAAAAATTTAAAAATCTATTCGCATAATTATGATGTTTGTTTATAAATCAATACAATATAACAGATTGCTTTCTTCAATTTGTAAATTTATGTTTATTTTACATATAGTTTCTTAACAATTTAATTGTTTGACATAAACTTTTTTTCATGTTTGCTTTTGGAGAATAAAAAAAACATACCAAAAATGAAGAATGTATACGATGCAAGTGCTCAAGTAATGCCTTGGCTGTGACACCATGTGATAGAACTAACATTTTTAAAATGTTTTTAAATGTTCCATATAGACCTTCTATAATAATGGGAGGCATTACATTTAAGGAAGCTATATATGTGAAGGTTTTATGTTTCATAAAAATAACAAAATAAATATAAAAATCTGATTTACTCCCAAATATTCACTTTGGAGTGAGTACCCAACCCCTATACTACTTAGACACAGATATATTCAGTTAAGGTGAATTAGTTTATATTTTGAAAATATATAATTTGGATTGGTGTTCACCTTGTTAACTTTGTGTAAGAGATGTCCTTCCAAAGAGAGAACTTCCACAAAAATCAAAATATTTACAGATTGTGTGCTTTATTTTTATGCCCTAACTAATCAGGGTGATAATATCAAAATGATCCACTAAGAAGAAAGAAGATGAAAGGACCTATTCTACATGTACTAGCAGATATTCTACAAAAGAAACTGCAATCACATAAATCACAAACCCTCTAGCTGCACTACATCCTGGTGGCCATTCATTTTTTGTTATCTTATAACAGACATAGTTTATTTTGGGTATTCCTTACATCATTTCCAAGAACTCGATAATAGAACTCTCAAGAACAACCCTTCTTCATCTGTCTAATCAGCCATCAGGCCTGTAGTCAGATTCTGCCAAGGGGAGGGGTGACTCAGAATGGTGAAAAACTGCATAATTTTGGAAGAATTTTTGGCCAGGAGGTCCCACCTGACTAAAGGCTTGGCAATGTTATCTTATACAATTGCTTGATGATTGAAATGGTTTGGATCTCACACCTGAACATATCTTTCCCTGACCACTCTATTTTCAGAGGCAACAAAGACTCGCAGTTTTGAATTTATTTAAAAAAAAGACTGAAATCGTAAATCTCAATTATAAATTCTACCAAAAGAGACTGATATCGCAATATAAAATTCTCCAAAAAGAGACTGAAATCGCAATATTAAATTCTTCCAAAAGAGACTGAAATCGCATTATTAAATTCTCCGAAAAGAGACTGAAATTGAAATAATGAACTCTCCCAAAAGAGACTGAAATTGCAATGTTAAGTTCTCCCCTCTTCTATTCACAGGTCTGGTTATTAAGAATTAAAATGCAAGGCCACCTTACCATTGATAACACATAACAAAACACAAGGGATACCCTGTACCTTATTTTGATACTGCAGTAGCTGAATGATAACTTTGATATCAGACTGAAAGTTTTTGATGGAGATAACACGCATGATGTTAGCAGCATCCTCAGCGTCAGGATCTTCACAATACTTGTCGGCAAGAACTAAACAAGCATCAGCTTCTTTGATCTGAAATACGTGAGTGATGTTGGGAGTTTTATACAGTGATGGTTTGATACTTTCAGTGTTTAAACATGCTGATGTTCTTTTGAACGTTTGTAATGAGCCTGTGTTTCTCAGGAGGAGGTCAATCTGGATAAAGTAAAAGTATTAAAGTATGTACTAAATGTAAGAGTACAAAACCATAGAGCTGATTATAACAGGACTCATGTTTTATAAGGTACAATTTTTCCCTCCCAAACATGAGGTGAAAATACAAAATCTGTAAAAATGAAGTATAAGTAAACAAGGGACCTTTCTGTGATGGTAAAACACTGGCTCATTTGGTCTTAAATAAATAAACCCACTGTATTAAGACTGGTACAGTAAAACCTGTTAAGTAGAACACCTCTTTAAGTAGAACACCTCTTTGAGTAGAACACATTTCACAGTCCAATTGCCCATTGAGTTAACATTAATAATGAAACTTCTATGTGGAACACCTCTTTAGTAGAACACTTTTCAGCTGATCTAAGGATGTTCTATTTACACAGGTGTTACAATATAATGATAGCATTCAATGCTGGAAGTGTGATTTAATCATTCTTAAATGAACTCAGTCTTGTGATAGAATCCCAGTGGAATCAAAAGATTCTTGTGTTTAAATCTTGTTCTTGTGTTGCCATAAGAACAGGGCTGCATTAGTCTCCTTTATTGGCAGGATTTAGCCTCTGTTACTGTTTTTCCTGTAATTCAAAATGTGTGTGAATCTTTGGGTGTCAGTGCCTGTGGTCTTGCCCTCTTACCTTCCTTGGTTTCACTTACTTACTCTGAAAATTAAAATGTGTGAGTGAATCCTGAGTGAAAGTGTTTTCCGAGTAACCATGGTACACTGAAGTTGTATAAAATCATCATCAATGGCCTCCAGCAATTTTCGATGGTGCAAAATCCTGCAAAATAAAATATTGGTGAATGTGCTTTTCCAATTGACTTCCAAGTGCTTCTAGCCTTGCCCCCTCAGACTTCAGAATACCAATCCATGGTACCACATCCTAAATTCAAAATGTGGGTGAATGTGCTATTCCAGGTGACACCATTACATGTAACTTCGATAATACCCTGAGCCTTGCCCATACTCAGAATACATATCCTTGTCATGTCCTGAAATCAAAATGTGGGTGATTGTGCTTTTCCAAGTGACCCTGGCACATGCAGTTTCACCTTAGACTCAGCCTGTAGAAGTTGTACTGTGATGCGTATCTGCTTACAGAAGTCCTTCATGTAGCAGACTCGCATTATATTAGTGCCGTCCTCCTCATCAACATCCTCAACATTGTTATTGGTCAACAGTAGACACCTGTCACTTGTCCTTACCTACAGAACGATCAACACAAAAGATTGGGATTATTTTATATCATGGGTGTCACTGGCGAGCTAATGGGCCCCCATTGGGTGGGCTCATATATTTTGTAGGGCCTTAATTAGTGGGCCTTTTAAGGCATTGCTTGGCCTTTTTGGGCCTTTGTAAGTCAAATTATCAAAAAAATTGGCCTTAAATTTTCAAAATTTGGGCCCAATTTTGGGATTTAGGGGACCAATTTTTTTTTTCTGATTTGAAATATGGGCCCCCCTTGTTGCCTTCTGTATCCACCAGTGGGTGTTGTCCAAATAATCAAAGGCATGGGTATGTATACCTAAAATCATTTGTAGTTGATCTATGACAACCTAAAAATGAAAGCAGAATGGTAATGTTATAACTGATATACAGTTTTAAGCTTTGAAGGATAAATATAAAACTGGTTCTAGACATTCCTTTGAAATATTGATCTGTAGAGTAAAATCATTTAAACGTACATGTATGCATATTTTTCTTAATTGTATATTTTACAACCAATGTCTATTCGTAAAATAACATTAAATAAGTTCAATATACTAAGCACAATTTAAAAAAAAATATTGCAAAAAATAATAATAAATATTACGATAAAATCAAGTAGCTACTACAGAATGAAAAGTACCGTAAAAGCTATTTCATTTGTTACTGAATTTAAAATATGCACAGAATCAGGTAAAGGGAATTAAAAAGCTGGTAGTATGGGCAATGTAAGAGCATTGCTGTATAAGTAATGCTTTGTCAGAAAGCTTCATACACAATAAGCTTTTTATGTGCATATTTATCGTTAATGACTAAAACAAGAAATGGGATGCAACTTAATGTTTGTTAAATGTTAAAACAAGGAAAAAAAGGGAAAGTCAGCATTTTGTCAATGATGGCAATTACGATGATACTGCAAAAATATAACAGTTTAACAAAAAAGTAAAAGTATTTAACAAAATAATGTAGTTGGTGTATTGTATTGTAATATTATCAGCACGTGCTCCAAAAATTGAATAATCTAACCATTTTGATTATTCAGTCACCAAATTAAGAGCCAGGCGATTAGATACTGGGTGGATATTCTACAATTAATTTAGATGAAAAATCAACATTATTCTATAAAAAATTCCTGGCACAGCCAAGGTTCATAATAATTTCCCATCTAAATTCTAAAGGTTCATTACTGTTAGTAGTATCTAAGGTAAGTTAGCTGTTAGCTGTGCGGTGCTACCTCCTGACTCCCCTAACCTACAAATGGAGTTACCCATCCAAGCAATCTGGATCAGTCTATTTTCATAGCAGACGACACTGTAGGGGTGTCAACTAGATATTTCACGTAATACTTACAGCAATCCTTTGTAAATCATGATTCTCCATTTCAGAACCAGTAAAAAATCGGGTCTGACAAATATGGCGTTTAAATAGTGCCTCTAGTGCTAGATTTGGTAGTTTTCTAAAAATCAAATTGAATTCAGTCAGTGTACAAGTTCAATTAAACAAATTTGTGAAAACGAGTTTTAAATGTTAGTCACAACCACACCAAACATACGCATCCTGAAATAACAAGTGAATAAAATACAATTTCGACAACATGCACAGTTGCATCACTGTTACTGCAAAAACCACTTTACACTCACTTTGTATGATTTTAATTGATAATTGAGTTTTTGATTTGCTAGACATTTCTCTCCTTAACTCCAAAATCGATGACAAAACTCTAATATTGGGACACAATTGGCCTGCTGACCCAAACAAAAAGGCATAAAGATGGTTTTTGCAATAACAGCATCCTTGCACGCATCCCTATCCTGGGCAATGGTTTTAGTATAAAAACATTCATAACACAGCAATTAACATAAGTCAACAAATTAAAACAATTTATTAGAATAGTACAAATGTTAGTCAGCTATGACAGCTATATATTATAACAATTTACACGATCTGCTTGATATGAATATGCATTCCTCATATATTTAACCGATAATGCTAAGGTTAAAGTACTGTTTGGGATAAGGACACTTTTTGCACACTACATATATTTTGAGAATGACATACAGGGTGTCCGGAAAGTAAAGATACAAATGCTCTAATTTCATTAGATTTACCTGTTGTGAGATGAAATTGCTACAGATTTACCTGTTGTGAGATGAAATTGCTACAGATTGTAGAATGACATTGTAACAATTTAGCCTGCAACTGTCACGACAAATTGTTTCAAAATAAAAAAGTTATGGTTGTTATGGGAACAGGAGTCGCGGGTATGTGGAGCAGCATCACAATTATATTTTATAATTCTTTTCTCCTGTTCATATCATCTTGACGCTCCGTCGTCTGTTGCTATTATGCATCAAATTATGTACCACAACAGCAAAGAGATTAGTACTGTAACATTATTTAATCATTTGACATTACTACTGTTATCCAGTATTATGTATTTTCCACCTTTATCTAAACATTCTTGGTGCATTTTGACGGGGGATTCAAAGACCTAACAAAACGTTTGCTGTTAGTCTCTAAAATTGCTGATAACATTGTTGGCTTCCAGCGGAGTCTCATTTTTATGTTGAACTTCTCACAAATATTGCTTTAACATATTCATTAATGTAGAAGTCCAACGGGACATTATCAGGGAAATATGGGCCATTGTACAAAAGGTTAACGTCAAGACATTCAATTGAAATTTGAAATCCAGATCTAGTATCGACACTCCAGAAATGCATATTCATATTGTAATATTAGCGTTTTTAGATGGGGTACTCACACAAACTCTTTCTAGGTCATTTGAGTCCATTACGGTCCCTTGGAAAAATGAGACTTGGGTAAAGTGGCGTTTGAACAAGCCCTCAAGCGCAAGATCTGGGAGAAATCTAGAATAAACCATGGTACATGCACCTACAGTAGCGACAATGGATTAGTTTGGGCTGCATTTACTTCGTCAAAACTATGTTTTTACAAAAATCAATGTTTTTCCTGTTGACCAAGATTACTAAAAATTTAAGATTGTTGAAAGCATAATTAATAAAATTTATCAATATTTTGATGTTCCTTTTATTATAAGATTTCTCCAAAATTAATAAACTAGAGCAGCCATACAAAATATTCTTTAACATACACCACTAAAACTATCAAATCATATTTTTAAAGCACTGATCAAGATAAAGAAAAATAAAGATAAATAGTTAGGTCCACAAACAAAGCATTGTAATTAGAAAAACAAGTAGTTAATAATTGGAAAACCGGAATCACACACATATTATATCATTTTCAAATTTAGTAGGAGGAATGAATTGAGAGGTAATATACAAGGGGTGGTCAAAAAGTTATCATATTAATTAATCTCTGTAATTTGGGGTTTTCAATATATTCCATTGAAATTTTCACAGAATGTGCAACATTCGATGACAAATTACAGGAGCAGAAATATTAAGTATCAACAGAAATATAAAATCCACCTCCTTGCTGTTATACAAGGGATCATGTCCAAATATCTTCAGTTGTGGAAGATATCCTAATCAGCTGATTTACTTATTACAAATGTAATATAAAAAAATCTATCATAAAAGTTTCCAGATTTCTATCAGTTCCTTTTTAGAAGTTATAGACATTGTTAAGACTAATTTTGGCCCAGTACAGTTTTCCCAGAATGAAGACGACCAGATAAGCAATAACAGAGATTAAGGGACCAGGAGTATGATGGGAAGACAAGGACTGTAGTGGGTCTCCACCAATCAGATTGCTTTAAAAGCCTCTGATTACCATAATGGAGATATTTTGTCTTGATTTGATATATGAAAGCAATTACACTTAGAAAATTGCACCCCTTCCAGCAGATGATATCAGATCAATCAATTTGCCAATCGAAATCAGAGCATTTTGCTAGTTTAAAAACAGAAAGATGTGAGAAGTATGAGAATGCCAAAAAACAATATTTTACATTTAATTAACTGTCATTCACTCCCTCTTCTCTTACAAAATTTCATCTTCCACAAATGAAGATACTTTGACAACACCCCTAAACCATTGTTTAGTGTTGTTAAGGAGGTCCTAGAAGATTTCTTTTTAATGCCAGTTACAAACTCTCAAACATGTCAAAGTTATTCACCAGGGCCTACCTTTATATCATGGAAGGTTACTCCCATTCCAAAAATGAGCCCTGGATTTATTAGTCTATCATAATTATTTTTGAAAAATGCGACATTCTATTGAGTAAAGATTAACATTGTGTAGAATTCAACCATTTCAGTGTTTTTTTTAGAAAATCATAACTATTTGAAATGAACAGATCTATTTACAGAAACACAGATCTACAAACTATGATTGGTTATTTTCCTTTTAATTGTTCAATTAGAAAAGTGCAATGGACTTGAATAAGCATAAAGCCCCCGCTATTTGACATGAGAATTAAACATCTTAGACTAAGAAGGCTGCAATGCCAAACATCAATAAAAACCTTAATCAGTTTTATTCTAAAAGAGGAAGGATGAGTAAAGATATCAGAAGTAAGCAATTTACACTAGACCCCTTTCCCTTGACTGATCGATGTTCTGGATTCATAGTAACAAAGATAAAGACTCAAGGTTTTCTTAAAGCTTTAGTACATGTATATACGTAATGGACGGCTAAGAATCAGTTACCCCAGTGAACAAATGGCATAACCTGGATGTCTTTTTGTTGGCTGAATTTACTAATGAATCAGGCAACTCACCAAAATTTGGACAGAAACATTTACAATAGATCTGTAAAGGATGATTCTCGGTTTGGAGAACGAAGTTCATCACTCTAATTGAGCGTTATCCCTGCTTCTGACCAATTTGATTTTTTTACATAATATAGATTTGAATGTCTTCTTTTGAATAGTCTTAAATTAATTTGGGTAATATTTCTAGATTTTCCATCAAAAAATTACTAGTGAACCATCCAACGTCGCTTTTATGATTCGTACCACTTTTTTAACTTGATGTATTGCATATTTCCGTGGGTCAATTTGAGAAAAAAGACAAACAAAGCGTACAGGGATATGTCATGAGCATATCATGAAAAAATCCTTTCAATATGTTTTTAAGAAACATTCGAAAATAATTCATTCTTAAATCGTGTCCCATTTTCGAGATATTCTCTGACATTTTATACACATTCATCCAATAGAGGGCCTCTCAAAAGAGCGACTTCAGATTTTTGGCATTTTACAAGTCATATATAAAATTGATTAATCATCTATTAATTAGATGTCACCACTTGCTATGAACTATGCTAGTGGTGAATATAAGCTAGTCAATTGCTGTGAGCTGGAGAGGGTGTATTTATATCACTTCTATCCTACCACGTGATTACGTGGTCGATGGGGATTTTCTGCTTATAATACACTGAAAACTGCCTGATGAATCTATACAATATATAGGGAATCGAAACACAATTCAGTGCGTAGGAGGTGAGGAACTTGCCACAAGATTACGCCTCTTTCTACCTCTCTCTTCCTGATTTAAACCTTAAAATTCGCCCAAGCATCGATCAACGTGGTTATTATAGCTATAAATAACACGTTCATTGTTCAACCAATCTCCAATAAGCCGTTGATGAGAGATAGTCTAGAGAGATTAAACAACACTTAGAAACACCTTAGAAAAATGGCGCCCGTATATGATTTTTTGTGTTCTTTTCTGTTTATCAATACAATTTATATTTTGACACGATTGCGATAAAACGTATACCTAGAAATGTAAGGCTAATTACCATAAGCGACTGGTAAATGTAAAAGTTGTTTGGTTTATCATATAAGAATCTGTAATAAAACCTCGATTGCCAAAATGAAACCATCGATTATGTTCAGTATGTTGCTATATATAATAAAAGTTTCCAGTCTTTTTTCAGTTACCATTAAACAGAGTCATTAGTCATTTTGGATTTGCTAGATTGATGATGGCATGGGTTGTTCTTTTTCAATTTCAGCAATAAGTTAATCCTTTGTTATGGACATATTGCTACCTACAACCTTTGACATCATTTTATCTAGCCAATAATCAGGTTCTTTGATGTACCAAATGATGGCAGGATTTATTGGAAAATAAACAACTTTTCATGTCCCTCATGCAGTATCGCTGAGCGTGAATTGATCACTCAAACTACGGATTTTATTTGCCCAAATAGCCTTGGATAACTGTGGTAACTAAAGTAACTGGAAAATGTAATAACGTTTTCGAACCTTTAGTGACATGAACAAAGGATTTTTAGCTTTTTCGATGTAAGCTTAATTCACAATTTTCAGAAATTCACATCAGTTGATTATGCTTTGCACGCCGCTTAAAAGCGCCATCAAAGCGCCGTTGGTGTGAACTTAGCTTAACAAGTTACTTGGGGGAAGGGGAACAAGGGAGGGGAGTTTGGTAGACATTTCCACCAGAATGATGAAAGTATTCATCGATGTCATATCAAATATTTATGTCATATTGAACATTTATCTCCGCGCTAAAATACCGACGATTGCAAAGGTAGTTTAATCCGGTAGCCGACAGGCGTTTCTTGCATTCGTGAATACAAGCTAGTCCATTTCACTGTTGAATTGCGTCAGTAAAACCTAAAAAATAAGAAATCACAATATCATCATGCAATAATATATGGAAAAATATGTTCCTATTGTACATGAATGACATTTGTATATCTTGGATTGCTTCTAGTTTGGCTTATAAAGTGTGTGGCCTCTTATATATGGATGCTTCTCTGCCATGTTATTTTCAATAAGATTAACATGGCTGAAATTCTTCAAATTACAAGAGGTCACAGTCTTATTGCACAAAAAACGAGAAAATCTGAAATATACAAATGTCATTCATGTACAATATGAATCTACTTTTCCATATATTATTGCACAATGGTCTCCCGATTTCTTATTTTTGGGGTTCTACTGACGCAATAAAACAGTGAAATGGACTCTAACCTTATATTCGCGAATGCAACTAACGCATCTCGGTTACCTGATTAACCCAGTATTCTATGACTAACTCATTTAAATGTGAATGGAATAGTGGCAGGTACTATTCGTATTTACATGGGTCTCCAGTGAAATAGAAGGTTAATCCGGTAGCCGAAAGGCGTTATTTGCATTCGCAAATATAAGCTAAGACTATGGTTTGGGAATGAAAGATTTCATCTACCGGATTAACATACTTTTCTATGGGCAACTCATTTAAATATTAAAAGTACCTGCCAATATTCCATTCATATTTTAATGAATTGCGTTAGTGGCATTCGCGAATACAAGATCATTTATTTTATAATTTGGGAAATATATATTTTCACAATATTGAAATAGATGGTGGTTCAAAGTGGAATACATATCATACAAAAGTGTCACAGATATGACTAGCTGGCATATACTTTTAGTATATTAGTCCATTTGTCACCCCTATACATCCAAAAGTGAACCTAGAATTTGTTAAAAGTACGATGTTTTATGGTCGATTTATGATAATAAGGGTTTTCTAAAGTGATTTAACTGAGTTGCCGAAAAAGTTTGTTTGGGGAAAAAATTATATAGGCTGATTAGGGAGGGGTGCAATCGCTTAACATGGCGTTGACTATTGACTTAGCGTTGGGATACCACCATATACCTGGTATGTTACTATGGTAATAGATACCAAAATTTTCCCCAAAGTTATTTTTTGGCAACCCAGCTAAATCACTCCAATAATCCCTAATGATAGTATTTACACAGAAAAACATCATACTTTTAAATATTCATACGTTCAGAAAATGACAAATGGACTATATGGTCTTTCTTTGCATGACTTCGCAGAACATATCAAAACCCTGGGATCCACAGGGTAACAGTAACAGTAAGTACATTTCTAAGTTCATGCTTCAAAGTTGTCAAAGTTGTAAAAGGGTAATCCTTTTATGAGTACGAAAGCGTACTTTTTGTTGAATAGCCTTTCCCAGCTGCTAATCTTGTGAGTGCATCGTGCATTCAACGAATTGTATTCACTTATTAACCAATCAGTGCCAGGAACAAAATGCACGCTGACTTGTTTTATGAAGCATGCTACATACAAATGTTACGCTTTTGCTCATTTACTTTGCGAACTATTTATATAATATACATTATATATGTTATATACTATTTATATAACATACATTACCAATTGACTGCAAGATTTGAGTGAACAAGTACCTCGTATTTTTCGATATTTTGTGATTTGTTGGCTGATGAGTAACTTGATATTTTATGTCTAAATGTATCAAAGTGGTTCATAGTAATAGTTTTATTGTACACCATAAACTGTTAACGTTTTAGAAATAGAACACAATATATGATTTGATAATAGGACAATACATGTAATAATATGTCTAAACTCGGTGGTTTGTTTGTAAGTTTGTTTTTCTAACACCTCAATAACTTACATTCAATGCGTATCTTATCCTCATAATTTACAAATAAATCAGTTATTAAATGCCCGATTTTCGACAGGTAAAGGTAATATATCAACCCTCGGTCCCCACTGTTCCTCTTGTAGATATATTATACATGTATAACCTTCTCAGATATATCCTGTATATTAAATACATTAAATAACATATATATGTTAGTCTCAGCCTAGACAGTATACATTAATTTTATTGGATAATGCGTAAAATTCGAATGAACTTGAAATGAAATTCAACATCCAAAATATGTTAATTTGATCATTCACCGTGTAACTCAAAGCATATGCATGGCCTATTTGCCTTAAAATACGATTGTGATAATGATTTCTGTTCTCCACAAGTAAAATCTAGAAACATAACAGAGTTAAGTTACACGAAATTCAGCTAACTTGAACACGAAGTCTTTCAATTAACTTAAAGTGTCTGTTCGATGCTCATGGGGTCAAAATACAGTTTATACACGTTCTAAATACCACTAACATGTCGAACCAGTAACCGTTCTTGTAAACATTTTTATAAATGTGAAATTTAATGTTCAAAATCGGGAACACAATTTCAAATCTCTATCATGACATCACGAACAGGACGGGTTTAGAATATGTTGTTGGAGTTCATAATCTCCGAACGTGCTTATAAAGTGTTAGTGTAATTGATTGCAACTGCATTCATTGAAGTGAGGAATTGATTCAGAGATGACTACTTTGGAGTCACGTTTTTTCCTCCGATAAACCAAAAAAAATAATACCTAAATTAGAGCCTCCGACCCAGCGGTACGTTTTCACATAGCTAGTCATGCAGAATTACTTTCTGGCCAGTCAGAACACAATATAGAAAATAAACACGCTCAGTTGATAGTATTACCTAACATAAGGCGTCTAAAATTTTGTAACCAAAAGGCATTGAACCATGAGGTGATTTCGGTAAGTGTAACTCCTTTCTGGCCAATCAGAACACGGTATAACATGAACACTTTTGAATTTACATTCGAGTTGCATAACGCATTGCCGATAAAAATCCATAACCGGTTCTGTTCGTGACGTCATGTTTTTTACCGGGAAATCTTATTTTGCCACTAATGAACAAATAGAATGAGTTAAGAGTCTGTTGGAATACTATTTTTACTTACCAATATCTGTTTAATCTACTGCAGTGAGAAAAAATAAACAGAAATTACCGAATTAAGCACTTTAATCGTTGATTCATTTCTATAGGTTTATTAGAATTATTACAACGATCGTTCATCAAACGAGTCCTATATTCAATATATATTCGTTGGACCTATTCTTTAAGTGTAACTATATTCTTTAAAAGTATCTGCTTAGTGCTACGTTAACATATATTCATTATTTTTATCCACAAAAGGGTATCAAACGTTAATGCACAACTAGCCGAGACATGGCCCCCCTCGTCCAGAGTGAAACACAAGGTCCTCATTCTTTAATAATTATATTTCAATTATTTAGTTAAATGCTTAAATGTTGGAAAATGAGTCGCTGTGACGTAATATCTGGCACAGCAATTTCAGAGTCACTGCAATGAATAGAAACATCACAAGGATCTTAAGACTAAATAAATAAGCTATTTAGGGATGAATATAACATTCGGTGAAATCCGTGATATCGTTATATCATTCGTTGATCGTCAAAGCTGCGCCCATTCGCTACCCTCATCTGTGAAACTATCGATATAGAATCGAGTCTCTATTTTCTATTTCAAAACATTGGGATTTACGCGCACAAGAGATGCTATGTAGTAGGCTATTACAAAAATCAAAAAATCGCCACCAAAATTCCTCGGAGCAGGCAGATATAAGACCAGACTGGGCATACACAAAATGTATTGTATGTGCTCCTTAGGTTGCACTCGGGTGCTATCAAAATCGAACACACACAAGTATAAGATACACAGCATCATGATAAACCATGACATCTCATTTCTTCTCAGCCCTGAGATGTTTCAGGTGAAACAGAAAGATGCTATGAGTATCAGAATGGATACACAGAGATAATTAAGGGATGAGTGACAAAGGGATGTTAAAAACAGGCGGCTATTGCAATTGATATTTTAATGTAACTTCCGAATGTAAGAATCTTTTCATCGATAAAAAGAACATCTTAGATATGTTCTATGTGAGTGTATTTGAAAATGTAGTACATAGCTAGTTCCATCTATAAAGATGTCTGATGACAAAAAGCTCAATTTTCCTTGATGTCACGGTCAATGGAACTTTAACACGTGAACTAATGTTTTTTATTTTTTTGTTTTAAAGTCACTTATAGCAAACCTAATCTAACAATTATCTCACGATATGCTTATGACATATTCATGTATACGTCGTTTGTATTTTTTTTAAATCGACCCACGAAAATATGCAATACATCAAGTTAAAAAAGTGGTACGAATCATAGAAGCGACGTTGGGTGGTTCACTAGTAATTTTTTATGGAAAATCTAGAAGTATTACCCAAATTAATTTATGTCTATTCAAAAGAAGACATTCAAATCTATATTATGTAAAAAAATCAAATTTGTCCGAAGCAGGGATAGCGCTCAATTAGAGTGATGAACTTCGTTCTCCAAACCGAGAATCATCCTTTCAAACTTTTGTGAAAAATGCGATAACAAAGTTCTTACTTATGCATGAAAATTATTTCCACATCTACGTCTTCCCGGTCTTTGTGTAGGAAATCGCTGAGGAAGTTTGAGACAGAGTCGTATGTAATATGCCCACAAACCACAATGTGTCTGAAATATAAGAATATAATGGTGATTTTCAGAATAAGGTTATTTAAATGTTTCTCAAATATGGATATATAAATACTGAAAAAGATTGTTGCAGTGTAGAAAGTACTTTCATGTATAATTTAAGGCAATTTCTATACATATATTTATCTATGGATTTTACAGCTGTTCTGAGGATGATGTCAGTAGAACATATCATGTACAATTATCCTTCAAAGTCATGAGATATCCCCTATAAATCTGACATTATGCAAATGCAAGATGCCTGTTATTTTGCCAATTTGATTTATTTATAGAAAATGTAATCACAAACCACAATATACCTACAAATTAAACAATACCTGAAATATAAATCATCTACAGTAAAACCTGTGTAATCCGAATACCTCTGAGTATTCAGAATGACAGGTGTTCACATTTAAAGACTTCTTGAACAGCAGAGTCATTTGGGACATTACAAAATTGGGACTGAAAGTGTTCATATTGAGAGGTGTTTGGATTACAGGGGTGTTCAGATATACAGGTTTTACTGTATTATATTTTGAAATTAATCAATATGTTTCCATGGTTGTTGCTTTATTTTTGATGGTTTGTATTTTGTATCCATGGCAATGGCATATTTTATATTAAATTGATAACAATTTCATTTGTTAAAAGCTTTCCTCATCAAAACTCAGTGAAACTAGCTTTTTTTCAATTTCCCATTGGAATACATAAATCATAGGCTTCTAAATGAAAATAATGAAAATATGAGATCCTATATTTATCAAATAACATTACTTCGGATTTAACATGAGGAGTTGTAGAAAACAAGTAAAGTTGTCATACTTTTACCCCCCCTTACATTACATATGATAAAATTAAAAAATAATGTTATTAACAGTTTATTTGAATCTAACTAGAAAATGAAAAAGTTCACTCAAAAACTCTTCATCCATCCCTTGCCCTAACAAACCTGAATTCATTATCTACAACTATAGACAATATTGAATACCATCCCTAAACTATACATTCTACTGAAAATAGGATAATTGTGTACATGTATTTGGTACTTGATTGTGTCAATATGACATGAATTGTACAACACATGTATTTTCCTACAAAAAAACCTAGTTTAGCTATTAGCCTAGAGCCTATCTCTATACATTTATATTTCTATATCAAAATATATTATATAGTATGTCTTCTAACATTTTACAGTATAAAAAATTAAGTACAGTATAGACTGATATAGCTTTTCCATGAAAATCTTTTTTTCATCCTCTGGTCACTGGGCTTCAAAATCCAGAATATATTCTTTCTTTTTACCCCCTGCGATAAGCAGTCAGCATTTCCCCGTTTAAGAATCCCCAATCTGATTGGCTGTCGCAACACTGCGACATAAATCATGTATAAGTCATTGTGCATAATTAGATCACGTGATTCAGTTTAATCGGTGGCTTCCAAATTGGTTATAGCAGGGGGAAGAAGGAGGTACGGATTCTGGATAAATGCTTAGGAGGATGCTAGTTTTGGACTTTGACTTATATACTTAGCTATAGGTAGCTAATGATAGGATCTAACATTTTTCCGTGATCAGAACATTTTTTCTCCAAACAAGGTAACCCAGATCCCGCAATATATCATATCAAAACTAACCCATTTTTTCTGAAAGGAATGTTTCAGATACAAAGTTAGCATGATGTATAGGGGAAGAATGGTTAGGCCAAAAACACAGTTTATTACATTCTGGATGGAAGCTTATATTATCTGATCCCCCTTGGAATCCAAGTCCAAAATTTCGAATAATTCTAATCCAGAATCTTAATGTCTCTCCCTGAGGTATTTCAAATAATGGCTTACTACTGTATAGTGACTCACACACTCCAAATACAATATACAGTGAATTGCAAAAACTATAAAATACACATGGAAAAACTATACCCGTCTTCAACAATGTTTACAATGAACTATATATAGTAAATTAAGTTTAATGCACAGCTAAAACTTGAACAAAAATCCAGAGAGAATAAATAAGAAAGGATAGAAAAGAGTAGTTAAATGTTACTAATCGGGCGATAAGGTCGAATGAAATGGGAGGGGCTAAAACCACTATATCCTGATACACAAAGCCCTCAACAAATAACCAGACAAGGGGGTGAACAATTTGATATTTTATGAGAAATTCATTTGTGTAAAAAATCTCATTTTCAAATTCCGAAAATTGGTGTAAATCCCCTCATCCTGTTTCACGAAATATAAAGGTGGTATGACTTTTGACATAATATTTTAGATATTTGAAGTAATGAAGATGTATGTATTATATGTATTAACCACTGTGATCACCTATGATTAGTGATTTGCAAGAAAGTTCAACATACATTCCAGCATCAAAAGTTAACCACATTTACATGATATGAAGATATGGCGGCCATATTTTATTTTAATTGCACCTTTTAACTCCATCCCATTTATCAGTGCTTCACTACAATAAACTATGTCCACCATTTCTAGAATAATGTGAAACAGTTGGTTGTATTTGAGTGGCCTCTTGCTATTTTGCCTCTATACAGCCATGCAAAATCCTCTCAGCACAGTGGGTAAAGCCGATCTTACAACCATTTGCCATAAAGTTACGTAAATACTTTTGGATTTCAAAAATAGGTTACATATATATTGAAGTTTTTTTTTATTTATTTTTTATCATAAAACAATTTCATGACTTCTCAAAAGATTTCAATATAGTATCTGAGCTAACTTTTTGATAATAATATTAGAATAAAATAATAAATATTAATATAATAATTATATTAATATAATAGTATAACATTCCAAGTCTGAATAAAATATATGAATGAAACAAATCGAGGCAGCATTACAAATTACGAGCAGCTTTTAAATGGTGGATAAAATTCATGCACATGTCATGACGGCTCCCGCCATGACAAGAAACAGAATGGCAAAATAAACATGACAAATATCAGGGGGAAAACATGGTACATTTCAAAAAGTTAACAAAATGGCAAATGGTGGTAGCGCTGCCCCCAGCGAGTGCAGGATTATACCTTTTTCCAGCTTCCTTTCTAAAAGTGCCCCCGTATTTTTGTCTTTGGGCAAGTATATTCATTATCTCTGGCAATGAACTTGTGAAGAGAGCCTGAAGAGAACAGATGAATACAAAGTAAAACAGAGTGAATAACGATTGCGTGACGTGACGCAGAAATCACTGTACCTCTTGCCTGTCTCCTTTTTGTACGATCCACCATATTTTTGCCGATTTCCTAGAATCTCCAAGATTTCTGGAATCGAGCTGGCAAACATAGCCTAAAATGGGAAGGTTTTTACTACAGGAAAGATCTCTCTATACAAACAACATATCACCAATCTACATACCAATCTACATACAAAACACCATGCTTATAAAATTGATACGTAATTCTGTACTGATCTACCAATATGCTACGTTAAAAGCCAAAAGATGATCAGCATTTAATATTATTACATGCTTGCTAAGTCTAAATGGAACCTTCAATTTATTTGCTAATATCTACATTCAAAACATGTTATCTATACATATCGTATGAGTCATTCAGTATATCTATTCTTCTATAGTAATATATTAATATTAAAACATAATATATACCAGATTTTCTCAAAAAGGGGATCCTGAATGAATGTAACAACCAATCAAAAAAAATTTTACTCATAGTGAAGGCTGGTAAAATTGAAAAGAAAAATAATATACCTAAATCCCCTGTTGCTAATAAATACCCTGGATGAATAATTCAGTAAGGCACATTTTTAGCATTGTTACAATTCTAGGTGGTCACAATGTCATTGTTTAAGACCTATATAAATGTCAACTTGAACATCTTTTGAAAGTCATAACCCAGTTTTTGGAAAATTGTCTCTTCGAACGAATTCCCTGACCAAAAAAATCAGTAATTTTTCCATGGTATTTGATATTTTGAAAATATTTTTTTTATTAAATAGCCGTAATAATACAAGAGGACATATTTGAGAAAATCTGGTAGCAAGCAGAATTATTAGTATAAACATGCTCCCCACCTGCAAAAGGTATCACCATGGGCTTTCAAGAGAAGCCCATGGTATAATACAATCCTTTCAGAGGTTGAAAGATTCACCAAGGTTAATTGGAGAATATATTACATGTATTTAAATACAATGAGTACATGTTTCCTCTATCAATTTTGGTCGTATGCCTTGTTGTAATCAATATGAATCATTATGTTGATTTATAAGTTTTTATGAAGATAAACTAATGTAATATTACATAGAGTTTATAGACTTTTTATCAAACACTACATGAACAGATATTATTTAAAGACCATTTGACTCTGAATTGGTTTTTGCAGCACCTTTAATATAGTACTCAAAATGTATTTTCTAAGTTCTAGAATAATCATCAAGTAGCCTAAAGGGAATTTGAATCCAATATTCTTCTGACATTTAATTTAAGTACAGAATTATAAACAACACACATTTTCTCAACCCATATTTAGTGTATGACACATTATACTTTGTGGAAAATATTTCCTTACTCTTGACTCTGTTATAATTATGTTTAAAATGGTGCAAAACCCAGCACGTGAATCAAATTGGTCTTCAAATGGAGGTTTAAATATGATGGTCTTAATCAGAACTGCAGTGCAGTGTGAAACCTAACATCTAAAAGCAGTGAAGCAGTGAAATGACATGTAAATTAAGCAAAAAATATCAATGACAGAATATACATTTAAATAAATTTCTATATGATTTTAAACTTCTACTAATTGCACTTAGCAAATTTAAAATGTTGCAAGATTTTTATTAAACAAATGTCATTCTTATGATAAAGCAACAATTAGATATTAATTACGATTAATTAAATCAAATAAAGACTGTTTTTTTTTATCAAAATCATACTTACCAAACCTCCTACAATGAAGAAACACATGAATAGTTTGCCGAGGACTGTTTTTGTTGAGATATCTCCATAGCCCACGGTTGACATGGTAACCAGGCCAAAATAACAACAGTCCCAGAATGTTATGGCTTGCGGGTTGTCGAAATTTCGCCATGGATCTCCCGAATTTTCAACCTAAGTTTGAAAAAGTGTGATAATGATATGAAGAGAGATACATTGTTTGTTGTACTAAAGTAGAAAAATGATAAATTATTCTATGAGGAAATGCCAATCAAATGTCATGCTTTTTCCACTCTATTTCTCGTTTTAACTTTCTGAATCATGCAGATTCTTAAGTCGTGCACCATGCTTCAGCCATCCTCCAAACACAGGCCTCCAGAAATTGTACCTTGATCTTCCAGAAGAAGAAAAGAATGTGTTGGATGATGTCTGGATCCCTGTATTTGGAGAATGTGCTTGCGCCCCTGATCTTAATATCTGTATCTGTGATAGAGAGAATGAGGGTGAGGGAACACAATGGATTGATTATATTTTAATAACAACCAACGTCTCGCATCAAACCTCCTCTCTACTCCAGGTGAGGTATTTAAGGGAGTCGAATGCGGTAGATACAAGACTTATCCATGAATGTTTATTGCTTGTGTTCTTGACTTTAGCTGATTCCGACTTTCTCAATTAACATTGCATTATTTCTGGAACATGACTAATGGGACATTTCCTCATAGAACAGTGACAGTATCATATTAGTATGGAGTGTATCTATGATTTACAATTTTAATTTGTGAATTCTTGAATGGTAAATCTAAGATACATTCAGGAAACTGGCCTCGATGATTAGTGAATCTGAAAATGTAGAAAAGTGATAAGTTAGGTGCATTTGTCCTGGATGTGACTGCCTTACTTTAAAATTGAAAGTGAAAAAGAGAAATATTACATCTCCCGGCACCAAGCCATTCATCCATTATCACAAATGAGTTCCGATTTATATAACTGGGATAGGTGCATTTACTTAATTAAATCTTTTACTTAATTTATTATTAATTAATTAATAAGCAGGTCTAAAAGATTAATTAATTAATCAATTAGGTAATTTGTGAATTATTAATCAAAATAGGGCTGGCTTGTTGCAAGAGCACAAGAGGTGATTCACAACCATGATTAAATGCTCTCATACAGTGCATCATGGGAATACAGAGCTACCTCTTTTCAGGAAAAGTATATCAATCATGTACAAAATATTTGATTATGGGATGAACATTTTGATATATAAAATTACAGTATGATCTCTATCATCTATTTATGGAAGCAAGTTGAATATAAACTTTAGGTAAGTCTTATTGGCAGAAAGTATAGGGTCAATCTGATTTCAAGAGTAATGGGAAAGGTCAAGGTCTTTCAAAGGGTCAATGTTTATGTACACGATTCATATATGTGATTTATGGTATATAATTTGTATTTATACATAAATATATACAAATATATACATATATATGTGCAGTTCGTGTCGACCCTCCATCAAACTTACAAATCCAAATATGATAAATACGATAGCGAAACACTTGCCAAGGATTGTTTTGGGATAAAAATCGCCATATCCAACGGTTGACATGGTAACCACTGAATAGTACAAACAATCAAACATGTCTATTCGCTCCGCATTACTATCCTCTATTGAACGCCATGGGTCTCCAGAATTTTCAAGCTGGTGTAAAATTCAAAGACTAATATAAACAAAATATAAATATTTCTTGTAAGTTTACGAGTTTTTTCCTGTAAAACATAAACACAATAAAGTCTAACTAAGCTTGTATTCGCGAATGCAAATAACGGCTACCGGCTATCGGGTTGATTGCAGTTTGAGGGCAAACTCATTACTTACGAATAGTACTTAGTACCTGCCATGCTTCTTGTTAGCTACCAGCTACCGCTTCAAACCCAGTCGCTGGCCTAAATAATATGTTAATCTGCCTATTTAGCAGGTAACGATGACCTATGTTCTGTTTACCAATTCCACCAGCAGCTTTATCGAAATCGATCCTTTCATTGGCATAAGGGTCATGTGATCACTGTTCATCGACTGATGGGTTTTTCGTAATTACAACTTCAAAATGACAAGTTAATTTATGAAAACTTACAGGTTTATCCGATAGCTTCTACTTACATTTGCGAATACAAGCTAAATGTCAAAATTTTAAGTTATTTTATTAGGCACTATCACAAACATTATGCATTAAATTTAACATATTATCAGCTTTCATTTAATGGTTGGGATATAAGATACTGTTTTTAGTAGTGTGAAAAAAATTATTTGAGGAAATTTTTCTCTCCTAAAATGTCAGACGTGTTTTGTTCACAAGGATGGTTGTAGGTAATATTAGCAGTTGACAATAAAATTTAGTGTATAACCTTCAATTCCTTATGTTTCATACTTTGGAAAGCACTGTTTAAACCTGGGTTTCATAATAATATGTAACAGTATCTTTTATAATCTATCACTGAGGTTATAAATGCACTAAAACTAATGAATTTATAATTTCATATTATTTCATATTATTTATAGTCTCCATTTGTAGATTAATTTTGATACATACAATGTTCACTGATTGAAAGTGAACATGTATTTGCTGATAATGATATTTTGTTTTGCCGTTGCAACCTGGATCAGTATGCTCCACTGATTAATATTGGAGTACATTCCCCTGGATACAAACAAAGGAAATTATTAGCTTATGCATCAAAAGGAATTCTTGTATTATGAAAGGTATAAATATTTCAACAGAAATCATTTATCATGATATTAAAAGCGAATATTATGCATCGATAGTAACCTAGCAAATCATTAAAACAAATACAATGTAACAAGTGTTTTATGGATTATATATGATCAATGATAAACAAAAAATAACAAATGGATCTATTCCACTCCATCCAATTTTCCATTTTCTCTTATTTTGGCTTTGAAAAATGCTGAATAAATTTGATCATTTCCGTAAAATGTTTGCAATGCAAATGCCTCCCTTGCCTCATGTGCAGAGGCAGAGTAAGAATAGGTGGCGTTGCATCCACCCTTACATGTATTTCCTTATTAGGGAGAAAATGGACAAACAAACATGTATGAAGCAACTACGTTTGATAAAAAGATCAATACACATACACACGTAACAAAAGGAAATATTTCTCAAGAAATTTGGCTTTGATTATCATTACACGTATCAATCAAATACTAACAAATTCAAAGAAAGCCTGTAGAAGAAAATATCCCGAATCCTAGTAACCTATCTAGTTCAAAATTAAATAATTCAACATAAAACAATCTCAAAATCAGTGTCAATGTTCAATTTGACTTAATTTCAAAAATTGTCTCATATGAGGTGGTTTAATGCCATAAATACAAAAAGGCTTATTTTCACCGTTTTTAAAGAATTAAGATCAACTTTGCACAGAATTTTGGACAATTGAATTCAGGTGATAGCATGAAACATACCAGACAAGGCAAAGAAGATGACATTAGTACCCACCAGATGTATAAAGCCAGCTGCGGTCAGCCAGAGGCACATGAAGTTTGCAAGTAGCTGAGTAAGACGTATGTAGTTACTTGTCCGCAGTATATTCAGGTACTGCAATACATCAGGTATGGAGAGAAGCCTCAACACCCTTGTGAATCTTAGACCTAAGGCAATAAAATAACAAAGCTATAAAATATTAAGAACATTTGTTGAGAATAATCCAGTACCATTATTTAATAATATACAGTATTCACAATACGGCTTCAAAACTTAATGTTAAGTATGAGTGAAAATTTCTCCATTTATGAATATATAAATTTGGAATTATATATGAAATTTCCAATTTTTAGAAAATTGCTTCATTTGATATGACAATGGTGCTGTATATTATTGGGGATAGCTGACTCTACTGTAAAATTGTATAATACTCACAGACCTGTCTAAGTGGAACACCTTTGGTACCTCTAAAATGTGTTCTACTTGGGAGGTATTCCAGTTATAGCAGTTTATTTAACATTAAGTCATTTGGTCTTGGGACTCTGAAAAGTATTTCACTAACAGAGGTGTTTCACTTCTCGAGGTGTTCCACTTTACAGGTTCCACTGTATATGTTAAACACACAAAACTTACCTAACCAGTTCCTATTGAGATAGATGGCCACAAATGAAGGAGGAATTGTGAAGTAATCAACAAATGAGAAAAGCTCCAGTAGAAACCAGAATTTGTCTGCAGCTGCTACAAACTGAAAAAAGAAATATATTTGAATTCATTAGTATTTTATCATTTTTTGATAAACATGTGTATTTCATACTCGAGTGGGTTTGGGGTAGATATCACCCGGGAATATATATCATATCTGAGGAGCGGGCAGGATATATTTTAGATGTCCCGCTCTAGGCAAAATGCGGGCAGATATAATATATCCATCCCGCTCCTGGGAATTTTTTCAAAAGTTGAAAAAAGTTTTAAAATTTTAATTTCAGAAGTTTAAATTTTTTCAAAAAGTTTAAATATTACAATTCTATTGTATTGAACTGAAGGAATATTATGAAAATGTTAAATATAAATTGAGCATAGATTGATTCAATATAAATTGAGTATAGGCCTATCTTGTCATTTAAAAAAGGTGGTAACGGTTATATCTACCCCACACCCACTCAAGTATGAGATACACCAGTTATGTACGGTCGGTTTTGGATACAGTGTTTATCCCGCGGGAAATATGTGTATCTCCCTCGGTCCCTGCGGTCCCTCGTGAGATACACATATTTCCCTTAGGATAAACCCTGTATCCAAAACCTCCCAGTACATAACCCTTATGTATCTCATAATTGAGTGGGGTTGAGGTAGATATCACCCGGGAATACATATCATATCTGAGGGGCGGGCAGGATATAAATGCGGGCAGATATAATATATCCATTCCGCTCCCTTATATATTCATTCCTTTAAAACATTGTCCACTCGGAAGGTGTTCCATTTGTAGAGGTTCATTTAAACATTATGTCAGTTGGTTTTGTGATTCTGAAAGTGTTCCACTTACAGAGGTGTTTTATTTCTAAAGGTGTTCCACTTTACTAGTTTCACTGTAGATAATTACAATGCTGTGAATTCATATTGAAATAATCAATAAAAACAAGTTAATTCTGAGTTTATACCACTTATCTCCTCTTAATAGATAATAATGAGTTGATAACTTTTGATTGTAGCTTCTAAACGTTGACTCTAAAGAGGATAAAACCTGCTCATAAAGCTCATATCCAGAACAGAAACCGAAAGTACCATCACATATTATTTGTGGTGTGTCATCCTCTAATTTTGAAGAGTACTTCCTGAAAAACTTTTTACTTCCTGGTAGATAAGTTTCTTTGAAACATTTATTACTTCTAGGACATAAAGTACTCAGGTAGGAATGTTCCTTTTATCTCATTTATATAATGTCACATATAAGTAATCATTTGGATACATAATTACCTAGCTAATTACCATTATACTGATTTTTGACAACATTTCATGTGGTGCATTTATTTTATTTTGATGTGGACCAACAGAGTTGATTGTAGTTTCTTTCAAGTCATAGCAGCTTAGGAAAAAGTAGTAGTAAGCTTAGTAGGGTTTTCACTAGGCTATGTCTAATAGCTTTTCCAGAGTCTAAAGTGTTTTTTCTGGAGTTTAATTTTACATTTTTGTCACATTATTTGCGGTAAAACTCTTAACTGGATATAAACAAGGATTAGGAAGTCAGAAACCTTTAAAAATTTAGTATTATTTTGAAAAGTATACCTCTGATCCCACATGGGGGAAAAGCAGTCGCGATACTGCGAAAGATCTGGGGTCTAAACATTTCTTGGTGAGAACCCTGTACAGTATAACAAAATCTAGGCAAATGCTCGAAATGAAACTGCAATCAACTAGTGCTGGTCCATATCTAAATAAATAAGTTAAACATGGAATGTTGTCACAATGGCATTAATGATTTTTTATGATTATGATTTTATGATTTTTACAAACGACAAAAGAACACCCTGTGTAAATATTTAGTATTGTAATCTTATTTAAATTGAACGTTAAATCTCCAACTGTAAAATCACTAGTGCACATGTGGTTTTTAATTCAGGAATCATGGCAGACTGGCCACCACCCGAGCCTTTCCAGAAAACCCCAATGCAGCCCCATTCCCTAATTGAACCTCTAGACTTAAAGGAACTTGAGTCTTCATCTCCAACATCTAGCTCTAATGCTAGTACCCCAGGGGTGTTCCTGGAAGAGCCTGCCAGCCCTCCACATGTCCAGACTGTGCCTGATAACTCCCATAATGAACCATTACTAAAAGTGGACATTCCAAATGTTCTAGGTAGATTCATGGAACAACGAAGAAGCTCAGACTACTGCCCCGGAAGCAAAAAGTACAAAGTGACCAGGCAATATTTGGAGTCTGTTTGTATTGACCCGCAGCGTGATACAGCATTAGAGGAAATTGATGTCACAGATAATGAAATCCATGATTTGCCATCATGTATTGCTGAGCTCCCTAACCTTGAGACATTGATTTTGGACAGAAATCGCATGGTTAATTTTCCCATGGCTATCCTACACTGCAAGAAACTTGAGGTGCTTAGTATGAAACAACAGAGAATTTCCCCTTCAATAAGCCCTCTGAATTTGGCAGATAAACACAGACTATATGATATCCCATTTGAACTTGGGACGTTCTGCAGTAACTTAACCGAACTGTACCTATCAGAAAATTCAATAAAGGATCTCCCGAGTAACTTCCACAAATTGTCTAAATTACGAATACTTGATCTGAGTGCAAACATGCTGAAAGAATTTTCGCCATGCCTCTATAAAATGACCAGTTTGATCACGCTCATACTAAGTGGAAATCAGATTGAGGCTATTGGCAGTGACATCAAAAACCTAACGAACCTCCAGATGTTCAGAATCGCCAATAATCAATTGAAAAGTCTTCCCGATGAACTCTGCTGCCTAAAGAACATCTCAACATTATCAATTCGAAATAACCAACTTAAAGCCCTTCCTGTTGAAATCGATAATCTAGATGCTTTGAAATATTCAGACTCTACAGCTTCACAATCCATCCAAAGTGATGGCCTCTACTTAGATGGGAATGACTTCATGTTTCCCCCAAAAGCTATTTGTGAGAAGGGCTCAAAACAAATCAGCATGTACCTGAGAAGGATGCGTGAAAACCCAGATGATCTCAACGAATTACTAGAACGTTGTAGACTTACTAATAAACAGACTGAACCAGCAAGATTTGGTTAGTACTGTTATTACTCATAATTGTAATACTATTATGTCCATGCTTCATGTCTTAGATCTAATGCACAACCCAATGCTCACCCCAGGTGTTTTTCAACAAGCTGTAAAAGTCTAATGTAGTCTATTCTAACTAAGAAATGTTCAAAATGGCGAAAACCTCACAATGATTTTATGATTTGTTTCAAGTTCTTTTTACAAATAGATTATATGTGTTATATACTATACAAATACAGTGTTTTCCAAATTGTCAAGTGAGTCAAGTATTTGCTTTCTAGCTCTTAATGATATCTTTTAAATTCTGAATCATATTAATCTTTATTTAAAGGACTTCTGACTGATAAATATCTATGGGACCTTGCGGGGAACATTGGATTCTGGTGGACTCAACTTGCATCAGAACTGAATTTTTCACATGACCAAGTGCAACAATTCCAAATGAACTACCCAGGGGATGTAAAAGCGCAGATTTGTAATATGATACGTGCTTGGAGAGATGGCCAACTCAGCAAATGTGACAATGAACCTTGGTTTAAGGTATTTCAGTATTTCTTTGTTGCAATACAATATAAAGTAAAGGTGTATCATAATAACTGTCCCCATACATAGCCGCTCATAGATAATAAGGTTATTCTAAGAAACAGACTAGGCATTTAATGATTATAGCAATTTGGTATAGACTTATTGTAAATTGATAGAATTATTATGGAGACATAAACTAAATAAAAAACAACAGACCCTCAAAAAATTATTCCATTTTAGAAAACATAATTTCATAATTAATACAGTTTGATTAATCCATATATGAAGTCAGGTTAGATCTTCCTTTATATGAATGACAGTCCCTTACAGTAGATGAAATAAAAGGATCAATGTTGCATCTTAGTTGATTGCAGGTCATTCTCCAATAGTCAGGCAAAACCCAATGTGATATGATCAATAGTATCCTAGTAGATGAAATAAAAGGTTCAATGTTGCATCTTATTTGATTGCAGGTCATTCTCCAACAGTCAGGCAAAACCCAATGTGATATGATCAATAGTATCCTAGTAGATGAACTGAAGAGTGTATTCAAGAGGATTGACCATACAGATATGATGGAGAGACTTGAAAGAGACATGAAAGACTCTAACTGGTGACACCAACAAAGCAATATGATAGAATACATAATGATGCGCATGTATTTATTAGTAGATCGGCATTTGGTTCACATTCAGCTACATATACATATTCACTCGTGCATTTTGCACCTTTAGAAATCGCTAAATGGTACACTGAAAAAATAAAATTTTTTTCAATTTGCCATATTTACAATGACATGTATATTCAATTTGGGGATTTTTTGTGAAAAAAGCAGTATACGACGAGATATTATGTAGTTAAAGCTAGTGAGGACTTGAATTGGTGATCCTTTATATAATTGGTTAGTTAATTAAATTAGGTGCCATTGATTAAAAAAAATTGCAGTATCAGTAACATTTACTTTTAAATATGGTACACACTATGGGTTGGTACCTTTAGACTCCCCTTTGGTGTTTAGAATCTAGAAATAACTTACCACCATTTTACTTGTATACTAGAGGACTTGTTATATATTATATTAATGGTAGTAATCTGGTTGGGCTAGTAAACCATACGCTTATAAGGAGAAACTTTATTTCTAATTGGATTATGTCCAAACTCCTCATGAAAAAATGAGCAGTTACATAATTGATGAATAGATATTATAATTACTTATTTTGGATAATACTCATCTCTGTTAGTTATTCACATTAGCTTGTTGTACTAAAATTGTCAGCCATGTTTTAGTGGGTCGTATCCCATACTGAACTACCAATAGTATTATTTTAAACGTTACATTTTTTATATTGAAAATAATTGTTCTTCTAATCATAATACTATATTTTTTACTATAGTGTTTATTGTCTTTACTAAGTATCATAATGTAGAATGTGTGAAAATGAAATAATGACAGCATTTCAAAATACTGTACTGTTCTGTGTACTGTACTATACTTTTAAATTGTACTGTACTGTGTACTGTAGTGTTCTACGTACTGTGCTGTACTGTAGCTTGTATAATCTGCTTGGGAACTGCAAGGGTTATTTATTTATTAATCTACTTATTTTTTCCATGTTTAATTCCAAATATTACATCTGGTGAAAGATTCATAAAATTTAATATCATAGGTACTTCATTTGAATCGCTAACAAAATGAATGAAAGCAATAAAGAAAACCATTGGAAATTATAATTAGAACATGGAAACATTTGCAATTTTCCTGAAAACAACAAGCGATTCTGGTAATAAAAAATACATATTGAGAGACTTCGCTGTGCATGCTACCAATGAAACCCCATACATGTATCTAATATAGGAAGGTCACAAAGATGCTTCATCTTGCTGTTATCACATTCTGATACTCATAGCATCTTTCTGTTTCACTTGAAACATGGGCTGAGAAGAAATGAGATGCCATGGTGTATCATGATGCTGTAATCACTGTTTGAACAGATCTGGATTGTGGATATAATGTTGTCTTGATTGCAAGTGTAGGCTATCTATTTTAAGTGTAATACCAGTACATGGTGAAATTGTTACAGTCCTGATATATCCAATGCTTGTAAGCCCCTTGTAAACGTTCCTATGACTTACTTTGTTAAGTAGATATGCTGTTACTTTTTGTAAAAATGTGGTACATGTTATTTACTTTTATCAATAGTCTAGACATTGCTTGTAATATTCATTATGCAATAATGCATGTTAAAAGGACTGTTAGAAATCTTAAGGTAGAATAATCAATTAAGGATGAATACAACGCATTGAATCAAATGTCAAGTATACTTTTACTGCTCATAGTCTGGGTGATGACATTAATCTATTGATTTATTCTATGAATTTAATGAACAGACTAAATGATATACATGTATTATGAGTTGCTCAATGTGGTATAACTATACCCTATTACATACTGCAGTGCCTCAAATGTATTTTTCATACAGGCCCATAGCCAGGGGAGGAGGGGGTAGGGGGGGGGGGGGTGGCTTTGGGTTTAGGGGTGTTTGAGCCTGGCCAAAATCTTTCAAAACCATGCATTTTTTTTACCATTCTGAGCATTTGTCAATTGATTTTAGGCCAAAGTTGTCAAATGTGTGTGAACCCCTTGGAATTTTTTGAAAAGTAACCCTCCCCCCTTGGCAAAAGCTTGCTTCGTACAGCTGTAATATATCCATGAAAATATTAAAAATGATCAATGTTTGTTGGGTATGTGTAATGACATTAGTTTGTATAGGACACTGAACATTACCTCTTGTCTTAAGATCTGACAATTATAGAAAAACAGGCAGATACATGACTGTTAAATGATTCTATTAAATAAGAAAATCGTGACTTCTGTGTTTAGCAAGAACTGAACTGAATTATTCCATACAGTCATGTAAAAAGCATGTGTAAATATGTTAAATTTCTATTGCAATATGCAACACTGCTGGAATGAAACTTACACTGTTGTTTAACAATCGAATAAATAAAAACATTCTTTGTAATAAAAAGTGTTTTTGTACTTTTTTTTTATCTGGGGTGAATCTTGAACAAAATATTTTTATGTCCCTATCTTAGATAAATAAAAAAACTATTCTAATGCATATAATACTAAGTAAATGTAGTTGTAAAGGATTTCCTCCAAAGATATGCTTTAACACCATCAGAATACATCCAATGAGATACAAATATGTTTGGAAGGAAATATGCTTAAACATTCACTCCTGAAAACATCTTGAAAATCTCTTGAATGGGAACATACTGAATAATGAGACACAGGTTGGCTTAATTCTGGGTAAAATACACATTGTTAAAGGGTGACGCATATCGTTTAGCAAATCGAACGCTCGTTTCTGGTGTTGCTCACCGTTTAGTATAAAAGGCCCGATCCCGGAATAATACTCAAGGGTTCACAGGCTCGAGGTCGTTGTGTCAACACCTCTAACTGTTATATAGCATAAGTATATTATAGATCGTCACACATTTATAAAAGGGTGATTTTTATTTTGACAAATCAATTCCACATTTATGGGTGAAGTTTCAAGATCTTCTATTTGTGTATAATAAGGAAAAATTGGCATCTAAATTTCCCCATAACGTAATAGCACACAGCTTGGCATATGAAATATCCTACAAATGAAACAAAGCAAGACAAACCGGTTTCTAATACAAGGATTTATATTGGCTGTTGTACATGTATTCTTTGAACACAATCACTCTTTGGATAACGTTTTCAAAATCATTATAAAAGGATTACTTTATCTCAAAGACAATTTCAATGAACTGGATTTTACAGAACTCCCCTTATTTCTTAAAAATGGACTGATCCAGTTGATTCGCCTGGAGCCGCCATATTGTTTTTATACGGGATGCTAATCGGAACCCTTTAAAACAGGTGTAACTGTCAAGGTGAACACCCTTGATGAAAACAATACGACAGGCTTGAAGTTAAAATCTCAGGAAGACACCAGTTACAAAGGGGCCATTTCTTAATGTGTGGTTTTTAGTTTTTTAAGTGAACACCTGTGTCTAGTAAACACCTCTTATAAGTGTATGTTCTACTGACTTTTGTATAAGATCGCCTCACTGTAGTGAACACCTTACTCTAGTGAACACAACATAGGTGTTCACTATATACAAGTTTCACTGTGCTTGTAAGGCAGTGTGAGGGGGCATAAGACTGTCTAGTTTTATGAATGCCCCTATAAACTCCTAGACCATATATGCATGGCATCTATCGATCAAAACTTTAATGAAGATCAAAACTGGAGGCAATAACACTTAACAAGGCATTAACATACAAAATGTCACCACCTGCCATTTGTTAAAGCCACTAAATGTCAAAATGCCGATCGCCAAACACAGTCCAAAAAAGTTGGAGACTATAACAATATGTCAGCAATTGTGGTAGTGATATAAAAATTGATTCATCTACCTTAATCAGATGAAGTTAAATCAAAAACCAATAAATGTCCAAATGATGAAGTCTTTCAGAGTTTTATGCTTCAGATGAAATTCTACTTGAGTGTTGCTAGGTAACACTAGAACTATGCCTTAAATCATAAGCACCACATATTATTGTAAGACTACCTTTCAATAGAACAGACATAGAAATTGATAGGTGTTGTGAAACAAGAAGTTTTTAGATTTCCTTGCTCCACAGAAAATACGGCCCAATTTTTATTAGAAGCATGCATGTAATGAATTGACAATATCTGTGAAACTAACACATATAAGTGCATGGCATGTAACATTAAAGTAATTAAATCAAACTATGTTATGAGAAATACATGACATTAAGTCTTGATTGATGGGGTTAGAAGTGAGTTCTCAGCATCAACTGATGGAATACTGATGTCAATTCATACCCCTGTTGCTATGCCTGACCCAGAAATTAATGGAATTGATCCTTACAAAGTAACATTCAAGTGATACTTTGTTGGTATAACCCATTATACACCTATTTTGTTCATATATAAATATGATGATAATTTCACCTTTGACTTTTGCACATTGATGATGTTGCACCTATTCATAAAGTAGTTTAATTTTACAACTTCTCACAAAAAAAATTATCTTGCAGATTTGTTGTACTTTCTTGCCAAATTCTCCAAGCATTCTGTCTATTTTGCAGGCATGCTTTTATGAACGGTCAAACACTAAAATATATTTAAGGCTCGAGAATTATTTTCATTTTCATTTGATTTTAGAACTGACACCAAGCTATGTTTTTATAAACAGACAAATTATCTCAGCCATGTTCTTTTAGTAAGCTTTAAAATGTTATATAAAAGATATCAAATGATTTTTCATTGTACGCCAGGAAACAAAAAAATAAAATGTTTTTTTTCCCTTTATATCATAAGCCTTGTATATAATTTGTGATTTAATTTTATGAATTCAGTTTTCAATTGAGTAAATTGTGTTTTTAATGGCAGGAAAAGAATCACAGTCTGCCTGACCCTTACCATAAGCCTATTCTATTAATCTTTAGATTTCATGAATCAATGGCCCCACGCCCATGATGAATCATATAGAAATATCATCACAGAATCAAGCTGCTAAATCTCAGGTGGAACACAAACAGATTGCGTGTGATGAAACAGGCTTTATCAAGTGATCTGAAACTGATGGACGAGACAGAAAATCGAAATAGAGCAATAATCTTGCGATGAAACTAATGGCTATGTTGTCATTGATTATTCTGATTGGATGAGCTTTGATTCTACTCCCGTAAGTAAAATATCGCGGAAGTCATTTATCCTTAAATAAGGCAAATTTAGACAGGAAATAGGACTTATATACGAAGAGCTCAAAGAGAACCAAAGGACGAAGTAACTATAAAGGTGGGGAGGCCTACAGTTGGAGAACCTTGTATTTTTTCAACTATAGATTCAAATTCCTTGGAATTAGGCAATTGCATCAAATAGCCTTAAATTACTCCGATGATTGTCCTCCGCCAGAAATTAAGCATCTGGATTTTAAAGATTGCGGCAATCAAGTGTAAATTACTGGCATGTTATTAGAGCAAGATCCTTTAAAACCGATTGTGCAGTGTCATTTTTCTCTTGTTTAATTTAGTCTGACTTTCCAATTATGTGACTGAATACAATCAGAATCTTCACAAGGTCCTCATAGGATTTAGATAGCAGTAGTTGAATACTCTGTTGCATATGGGCTTTAGGTAAAATTGAAATGGCATTTGATATTTGTGATATAAAGTGTGACTGGTGTGAATGTGCAACTTTAACTATTCTTCACATTTTCTATTAAATTTTGGCAAGTGATATGTCTTAAACAAATAAATACGAGATTGATCTACATGTTAACATATATACCATTTTGTAAACTTCTATTGGGCTTGCAATCTAATGAAGGGTACACTGTTCTTCTAATTTCCTTTGATCAACATGTTTGACTTCATTGATCTCCATGTTAAAATGTTTGACTTCATTGATCTACAAGTCAAAATGTTACTCCATTGATCTGTGTGTTAAAATGTTTAACTTCATTGATCTACATGTTGACATGTTTGACTTCATTGATCTACATGTTAACATGTTTGAGTTTATTGATCCACATGTTAACATGTTTGGCTTCTTTGATCTACATGTTAACATGGTTCACAACATTGATCTACATGTTAACATGTTTGACTTCATTGATCTACATGTTAACATGGTTCACAACATTGATCTACATGTTAACATGTTTTACTTCATTGATCCACATGTTAAAATGTCTTCATTGATCTACATTTTAACATATTTGACTTCATTGATCTACAAGTCAAAATGTTACTCTATTGATCTGTGTGTTAAAACATTTAACTTCATTGATCTACATGTTGACATGTTTGACTTCATTGATCTACATGTTAACATGTTTGAGTTCATTGATCCACATGTTAACATGTTTGGCTTCTTTGATCTATATGTTAACATGGTTCACAACATTGATCTACATGTTAACATGTTTGACTTCATAGATCTACATGTTAACATGGTTCACAACATTGATCTACATGTTAACATGTTTGACTTCATTGATCCACATGTTAAAATGTCTTCATTGATCTAACTTTTAAAATATTTGACTTCATTGATCTACATGTTAACATGTTTGGCTAGTTTGATCTACATGTTAACATGGTTCAAAACATTGATCTACATGTTATCATATTCGACTTCATTGATCTACATGTTAACATGCTTGACTTTAGTGACCTCCATGTTACAATGTTTGACTTTATTGATCTACATGTTAAAATGTTTGACTTCATTGATCTAAATATTAACATATTTGACTTCATTGATCTACATGTTAACATATTTGACTTCAGTGATCTATAAGTTAACATGTTTGACTACATTGATCTATGTGTTAAAATGTTTGACTTCATAGATCTACATGCTAACATCTGATCATCCAACTAATATACCAAGACTTCAAACCACATCTACTATGTCACAGACAAATCATTGAAAATGTTATGAATACACACAAGTAACAAATACAAAAAACAAATAATTCCTGCTATGTATGGTAATTTAAATCACGGTGCTTATCACATTATTTTATATGAATCAAAATGGCATATTTCATAAACAATTTGGATGGCATAGATTCGCAGAATATAATATTTTTTATTGAAATATCGTGCTAATGAGATACTTTCACATGGGATTATGTACTACCCACAGGTACCAGGTCTAAAGAAAGTGACCTAAAATACAATTTCATTTGCATAGGTATACTATTCAGGTTTTGGAGTAGTACAAACACACTGCTACTATCAACAAACAGGTAAAATTCGACCTCCATCTTGGTGAAAAGGATGGAAATGAAAATTTGCTCCGACGGAAGTTCATCTGTTTTTACGTCTTTTTAATCAGATGGGGACCAGTGAATCTGTCAAGTTAATTAGTTTTACATACAAATTTCTTGTTAACTGGATGCAAAGGGAAATTTTGGTATTGAGCCTATAGATTGAAATGTGAAACAAAACAAGTTCAGAGTGATATCATAGCCCTATATTGCCTGTCAAATAAATCAGGTCTATCCTGGGTACAGGTGCTTTAGGAGCTCAAATAACTATCAAGATAAAAGCAAAGCTAAATATATACAACTCAGCATGCAATAATCATAAAATGTGTTTTACTAGGTGTATAAATTAGATAGCAAGCATCTCTCTGGTTACCCTGGCCTTGATCCTCATTGGGTAGAAGAACCCAACCTCTGACTATGAGTGATGATTTTTAGTTCTGATGCTGATAGATTCTTTATGATGTCAAAAAAGATCTAAGTGCCCTTTATAATCAGGCATTAACATGACAATGTCAGTTATTGGAAGTTGTAACAATTTGTTACATACGTTAATCCAGAATCCTGACCAAGGAACTCCATCCCCCAAAAAGTTGGAGACTATACTCTGAATGTTTAGGAGTAGGAGTTAATTATAGGGAGATATTATTATATCATGATTTTCTGAATCTGATTGGATAAGCTAGATTGAAGTAATTCTTCTAATTGAAAGAGGGCAGGCAAAGCTATAGATCTTGTAAAGGGTCAGCTCTGATACATAAACTGCAGCATTTGTTTATCGATGCAAACTTTGGTGGGGCAAACAGAGTTCCAACTCCCTTTCATTTATCTAATTTAAGCAAATGGTATAATCATTTTTCAGATCTTTTGCAAAGTTAGCCTTCATCAAAAATTTATTCTTAAGTCGAGTGAAATGATGATTGCAACCATGGGCTTTCAACACTCATGATTTTGGTAATTTACAGTTTATAGTATATACCCTTTTAAAGCTTTGCATATTGCATACACTTGATTAAAAAAGACTTAACTGCAGCGTATATAGTTAATTACAATAGTCTTTGTAAGCATTTAAAAGTGAAGACTTACCCGTATGAAGAAATATATCATGAAGAATATGTTGAATGCTAAATCTACTTGTTGAGTGATGCTCTTATCCCATTCTACACATGTCTCTATCTGGGCCCTAGAAATAAAGAAAATTAAATAAAACAAGGCATGGACATGCAAAATGCTATTTGTTACAGACATTGTGTTACGGATGATGAATACCAACCCGGTCCAACCGCCATAAACGAAATAAACTTTCATAGGTAGAAACATCCCTGAGAATTTCAAATGAATCCCTCAAACAGTTTGGCTGGAAATCCGTAGACAAGATTATTCGGGACGCCCGCCCGCCCGGCAAAATATAGCACCTTAGGGTGCCATAAAAAGTTGTGAGACTGACAATATGTCATTGCTTTGGGTGGCGACAGAAAAATCAGATGACATTTATTTGATTAACGAATAAATAATGGTCATTCGGTTAAATTTAGCATGCGTTAGACAGAATGTTTTACAAAGCATGAGCCAATGGTAAGTACATTTGTTCTGACATTATGTCTAAAAAGTGTAGAATTTCACTATATTTTGGATGGCCTTTCATCATTCATTCTGATTCAAACATAAAATGAAGAAAAACGATCCTGAAAGAATGGGAGATAGAGCCACATGAAAGAACCAACGTGCTGTCATTCTACTAAAAAATTCATTAGTGGCCATCTTAAGACAGAGGCCTGGATGTGACAGCATAATACAAAGGTTTCACTAGAATTCCTCACAACAGGCTAATTTTTTAAGGCTAAATAAATAAAAAACAACGGGCAAAATTAATGGAAGTCTCGTGAATTTAACATGGAAAAGTTTTAAAGTCCCTAAAAACAACAGACGATTTTGTGAAAACAACCGGTGAAAATCGCCTGTTCCCTGCTGCTAATGAAACCCCTGTAATATCATGTAAATTCCTGGATGCAGATTGCATAATAAATCTATCTAGAATTAAAGCACAGCTTTGCTACAATCTGATTGGATGAGAGAATTATAGAATTTTGTAAAAATTGTAAATGTATGATTGCTTACAAATTGGTAACCTACTCTAATAACAGCTTTTTGGCATATCATTGTCTTTCTTTTAGTATAATCTTTTTTTATAAATTGTTTTAGTTTTAGGGCCACTTGTGCCATTATATCAGACAGTTATGAACCAATACACCTGTTAAGAGTTGTGATTAATATTGCTTATTTTAAAAATAATTGCATCGTTTACCTATTATATATTTAGCTTAAGACAACTGAAAGATGGTTGTATGTGAATTGTTGCCAAGAAAATATAATAATATTCTACTCTGAATTCTGCCTTTTATTGCCTTTTTTCTTAAAAATTCAGTTGAATTTCTCAAATTGAAACAAGGCATTAACATGCTAAATGTCACCACCTGCTATTTGTTACAGATATCAAACATTGTCTATGAAAAAATTGGAGACTATAAAAATATGTCACCACTTTTGGTAAAAACAAAAGTATTAAAAATATTAAATAGTACATTTACATCTGAATTACTTTTTGATATAAGTCTGCTGTTTATGTCATGTATAAATTAACCTATACACTTAATATATTCATTTATGGGAAAATAGATTAACAAATTATATAACACTGATTCCTCTGATACCAATGATCTCACTTACAAATTATTTGTAACTTGTTGCCTAATATATAGCTTGGTCTTCATTATACAGGCTGCAGTTAAACAGTTACCAAATTATCCATTTGGGTACAAATCATGCAATTTCTATACCAAATGTCAGTAGCAGACTTTGTATGATGAAATTACAAAATGAGAATTTGTCCTGAACAATATTATAAGTTATTGAATGATTTGAAGTGCAATACAGGATATATTCTGCTTGAGAAATTCTGTGTTCGAACGAGACGAAGTCGAGTGCCAATACAAAATATCAAGAGCAGAATATATTCGGTATTTAGACTAATTGCACTTCAAATCATTCTATAATGTTTTTATTGTGTGATCCTAGGCCAAAACATTTAACTTAGGAGATAATCCCTAGGAAATATTCTGTATTCTCTGTATTGCTACTCAGATTGTCCCCTCCGTACCAATATTTTCTGTTTTGCTACAGAGATGATCAATGGGGACAATCTCAGTAGCTATACAGATTGATACAGCACAAGAACTGACCAATGAGAGGGCTTCATTTTACAGATCATACGATAATAAAAGTTATTAAATGATTAGAAGTGAAATACAGGATATAATCTGCTCGAGAAATTCTTTATTGGCCAGTGCCACTTAAAAGTTTGTACAAATAAATAGATCATGAAACATTTAGTAAATATCGAAATTATCATTTTGCTTATGTTATATATGTTATATACATGTCATGTATGTCATGTACCATATTTTTTTTTCAATGTAACATATTTACAGGTTGTAATGGCTATGACCCTGGAAACCACACTGTGTACTTATTAGAGAAAAAATATGGTATACAATATTTGTAACTTTTTATAAATTGGCTGAATTGTTACTCTCCTTCATACCACTACTCAGCTTTGTAAATATACATAACTCTACTCTTTTGTTTTCATGCAATCAATATGCTACAATACGCTCTTCATGAAAGAATTGCACGAAGAGCAAGGTGAAGTATACAGACAGAAATCAACAATGAAACAAATAAGGCTTGGTACATGTATATACTTGTATATTGATTTTCAGAAATCCAACCTCCCGATTTCATTTATGATTATTGTGTTCTTCCTATTATATTCAAATATTCACTGTGGAGGAACTCAACAAGCTATAGAATATTAAATGAAAACACACAATGCAATCTTGTACTATTAGGGCGTATGTGAAAGTCAGTCTACCCATGTAGAGATCGGACACGACAATTCATTCAGTCACACCTATAGCCTTCATTCTTTTATCTTTACCTTTTTAGCTTAGGAATCATCTACAATTTTTTGGTAATATCAAGTCTAGCTATAAGCCCTTGTGAGCACCACCCCTTCAACTACACACCTTCTCTTGGTGAAGTACAGATAAGGGAGGGGGGTAGGGAGTCCACAGTCTTGAAGCAAGACTATAATATCATCTACCTATAAGATGTAATGTCTACTCAAACTTGCACTGATCAAACCAAGAAATGATGTGACCAATTTACAAAAGGAGAAATACTGTACTTACTCAGGGGGCCACTGTGATGCATCGATGAAGTATATGATCAGCGAGGCAATGCTCAGGAAAAATACAAACACAACCTGAAACAAAGAATAAATATGTTTTTGTATTTTATTCAATGAGTTTACAAAAGTAAATAACTGCCAGTTTTCAAACACTTGTTTCAATAATAGATCTGTTTAGGGGAACTATGCAGGATTCCATAGATTAAAAGAGATTCAATAGTTATGGTAAGATATATGCTTTCCAATGGTCTAAGATATCATATGCTTTCCAATGGTTTAAGATAGATGCTTTCCAATGGCTTACAATGCATTCTTATTTAATATGTATCAATTATATTATACATGGCAAGCCTTACCTGAGAAAGTATGTGTTTTACAGCTGTATAAAATATATCCTTTCTCAGGCATAATTTCTATATTTTACGGGAAATTATCAAAAAGTTTTCATAAAAATGAAGATTTGGATGTTAATGAGCAATACAAATGATGTCAGTATGTCACATCCAGATAACATATAAATAATGCATATTGACATCACAATAGGGCAAGTCAGATTACCGGAAATTATATCATCATCATGTGTAGCGATATATTACCTAATGAGATCGCTGATGTTCAAACATTAGAGACTCAACCATTTTGTATCGACTACAGTGCATCTATTCTCAACTTTATCCCTAAAGACATTAATAAATACACTGACATGAGATGAGATATTAATTGAATTACTTTTACCTATGTACTTATTTCCCAATGGAATGAGAGCATAATATATATGCATGTAAAGGTTACAATTTATTCTGCTAACATAGTGTATTTATTCTGCTGAAATTCTATGTAACAATTTATACCTCTAACCAAAATACTGTGGTACAGTTTATATTGTTCACCAAAATATATGTTATAATTTATTCTCCTGACTAATACTTATTCTATATATTAAAGAAATACTGCTGAGCAAAATAGTGATTGGGTCTTCTGTCAAACTACTGTAAATATTCTGTATTTACAGAGCCTTCAAATTCAAAATCGTAAAATCTGAATGGCTTCAAAGGGGTATATACCTTATGTAAAATGGAATGTATGAAGCAGCTGCAAATGTATTTTAACCTGTTCACTTATCACCTGTGCTAGCATCTGTTTCAGATATCAGTGTATGGTAACCTACTTCTATTTGGTTTACACCCCCACCCCCGCCTCGCATAAGCCAAGCCACCCCTGTATACAGGTTCACCTCAATTTCATAGCTCAGATTTTAGGTTTCTTAGATCTTTTTTTAAACTCTTTTCTTTTCATCAAAACTGCATGTGAGAATAAAACCAATGGTGCAGAAATGCAAGAAAATAATAAATAATCAAGCGTCTGTACCCATATGATCTGAGAGTCACTCTAACACAAATTGGGGAAAGAGCCTAGAATTTGATGAAAGACAAGAAGATCATCATATGCCATACTTCAATATGGCAAGGTAAAATGCTGATGGAGATATCTTATAGGTGATTATTGCAGTCTGCTGCTATTCATAACAAATGAGCTGATAAAATTAGTTCAATCTTTAAAGAGTATCTGCATCTGGTTATAGAGTCCAGGGAATTCCTATCATACATGCCTGCGCAAGAGCTGCATGACAGAAATATTATGAATATTCGAATTATGAGGGGAATTAGCAAGGAAAGCAAAGAATGAAATATGAAGAAATGAAGAGGAAACTCAATCAAATTATCATATTGAAATGCAGCCACAGTGACAATAGATACAATTTCCCTTTTTAGCAAGAGTCTTATAGTCTTTGAGATATTATTGAGAATCTTACCAAATTCTCTGAATTCTCTACTCGACATTGGTTGTATAGAAATGCAGAAACATACCCTTTGGTTCTTACCCTTTGCTTCGCTTTTTAAAAGAGAGATTCATCTTCAATAGTTTTAATTGGACTTTCCATACAGGGTAGCAGAAACATAAGACTTTTTTTAGAACAATTCAATGGCAAAACCTAAGAAAAGATATGTATGCTCCTATAACTATAAACACCCCGACATTTGAACTCGGAATCCTACAAATACTCGGACTTCAGCAAACATGAGGTTTGGGCAAATTAGGTTCAATTCTTATGCCGGGCATAAGAGTAGATCTGTTCTTATGCCGGGCATAAGAGTAGATCTGTTCTTATGCCGGGCATAAGAGTAGATCTGTTCTTATGCCCGGCATAAGAGAAGATCTGTTCTTATGCCCGGCATAAGAGAAGATCTGTTCTTATGCCCGGCATAAGAGAAGATCTGTTCTTATGCCTGGCATAAGAGAAGATCTGTTCTTATGCCCGGCATAAGAGCAGATCTGTTCTTATGCCCGGCATAAGAGTAGATCTGTTCTTTTGTCGGCATAAATAGAAGATCTGTCCTTATGCTAAATGCAAAAGACAATGAGAGTAGATTTGTTCACTTCAAGTATACGCAGCCACAAATTTGTTACAAATATCATCATAACAGGAATGAAAATAGAGGGAAAATTATGTCAATTTTTTACCAGTATTGTTCATTACTTCAATGCTCTGATAGATTTTGTACACCAGCACAGCAGTAAATAACAAAGAAACATTGTATTTATTTATAATAGTTCATGTTATATTCAAATAATACTTCATGTATTTAATTTTATTAATATATTACTGTAATACTAACTGCTGAAGTTATTTTATTTGGTGTTTGAATTTTTTGTCAAGGTGGTTTTGACTTGAATCCCAATAGTCTAGTATTATTTACTGTATTATAAGGAGTTTCAATTGTCATTTCAATACTCTGATGTAGTAGCCATCCTTAGCTCATAGTCATATGAATCATGAAGGATTTTAGGGTTTGGCTTTTTCATGTAAAATCCCTTACTAGGGATTTTCGCTATGACAAATTGATTGGATGAGATGGAGTTATAGTCTTGTATCACAATGTATAAAGTTTCATTTGACTGATTACAGTTGTGTTAACATTCATAATCATAGTCAACAGTGTTTGTTGCGTCACTGATTTTTATTCTTCATCTGCTGTTACTGTTTCTTTGCCATTTAGAGCATAGTCACAGTTACTTGGGTTTCTTGATATCAGCATTGAATAATAAGGCTCTGATTCCATTACTGCATCATTTTGTCACAAATAGCCGAGAGGATAATCACTTCATGGACATTGTGAGATTTGAAGATGAGACGCTTCTGGGGTACATTGTATTTTCATATATTCATTATCTTGGCTGGGTCTTCTAATTCACACATGTATTTTTATCAGGAACTTTGCAGGGCAAGTTAATTTAGCCTGGTTAAATAAGTCAACACAGTCAATGTTTGCTGTTCTTCTTAGCCACATTCACAATAGGCCTAGCTGATGGCGGAGTTCCAATGTCATTTTAGTTGATTGTGTGGTAATGTCATGATTTGTACAGGTACTTGCACAACAGGGAACATCTTCAGCAAACACTGAAAAATAAGAAAAGTTCATTATATTGACATAATCACTCAAACCATACATTTACTCTTAAGGCATTCTCAAAAATGTGTGATGTCAGATAATAAAAGTGATATTCACTCAGGTGGCAAAATTGTCAATATTTTTCTCATTTTCTTATCACGGTATATATCCAGGCCCCGCATGATACTCATAAAAAAGTAAGTTAAGTTCGAAAAATCCTTTGCTCATATTAAAGATGTTCTAAAGCAAATATGTTGCAAAGATATCAACAAAATTATCCCCCTATTTGTGCCTGTGGTCTAAACATATTTAAGATAAACTACAGGCCCGTAAGACACTTTTCTCCAAGTGGTTGCGATTTTTAATAAAGAGAAAATAAAATTGTCATTTTTCCGCGTAAATCAAATCGCGTAAGTCAGGGGGGGGTCAGTTACTCTTTATATTAACGCCACTCAGCCTATTTTGTAGTATTTTATTGTTTTCATATTGTTTTTAGACTAAATATTGTATGAGCAATTAGGAGAAACATTGGAATAGGGAGGGTGTGCTAGAAGGCAATAGAATCAATTAGAAGAAATTCAGATTTTTAATAATTTTCTTTTTAGAGGAGCGAGTGGGCAGCACAGGAAAATTTTACTAATCCAATGCTGTCTGGTTAATTCTGAGCACTTTTAATGTGTTTGAGTAAATTAATGCTTTAGTTTTTGGGATGCGGTGTCAGAATTATTTATGATTTCATTATGTCACTTGGTGATTTCTGAGCACTTTTAAAGTGTTTAACATTAACAAATGCAACTTCAAAACATTCCCAATTGTTTTGTGGGGGGGGGGGTGTGAGTGTGCACTTTCAAAGTATATTAATCAAAGGGGTGTCAAAGAGGATAAAAGGGTGAGGGTGATGGGTGCCCAACTCTCCTAGAAGATTTTACAATTTTAAGATGATATTTGGTGCTTTCTGGGCACTTTTAAAGTGTATGAGTCAATAAAAAAATGAACAACAATCATAATTTTTTCAAATCTTGGGGATGTCAAAGTGGGCTGGGGTGCCAAAGCGGGAGGTAGGGTTTGGCTGCCAGAGGGGGGAGCAAGTGTTTGTCCCCCATATCTGTCCCCAGAAACATTGACCATATAAGGTGCTATTTGATGAAGTCTGGGCACCTAAGATGTGTCTTGAGACAATACATGAAATAAATTCAAAATTTTTGTCAATTGTTTTGTGGGGGATGTGAGGGTTGGCCTACTTCCTTAGAAAATTCAACAATTTTAAGATGCTATTTGGTGCTTTCTGGGGAGGGGGGGGGTGTCCAAGGGGGGGGGGGGGGGGGGGGGGGCGAGGGGGATGTGGGATGAGAATGACAGAAGGGGAGCAAGTGTTAGTTCCCCAGAAACATTGACTATATCAAGGAGCTATTTGATGATGTCTGGGCACTTTAAAAGTGTCTGAGACAATACATAAAATAAATTCAGAACTTTTCATTTGTTTTGTGGGGGTGTGAGGGGTGGCCCACTCCCCCTAGAAAATTATACAATTTTAAGATGCTATTTGGTGCTTTCTGGACACTTTCAAAGTGTATGAGTCAATAAAAAAGATGAAATTTTTTTTTAGGGGGGGGGGTGTCCGAG